GCCTTGAGCTCCTTGTTGTCCCGGTCCAGGGGAATGACCTTGAAAAGGCCATCGTAGAGCCGCAGGCCAATCATCCGGCACTCAGGGTCGATGATCCCGATGATGCCCGTCTCTGAGGGCCGGCCAATTCGGTCCTGAGGAGGGAAATGGGGTCAGGGGAGAGCCTCACACCCACAGCACAGAGGCCCCGCCCCCCTTTACCAGGACGTAAAACTGGTGGCCCCTGCGTGACATGCAGGAAACCAGTGTCAGAGCGTCTTTCTGTAAAACACTGAACTCCATGGGTTATTTAATTTACCCTGTCCCTCAGACTCTGAGCAAACTAGAGAAGTCCTTTTTAAAAGCCCAAACCCTATGTTTTCTCCTTGTTTCCCTGGTCATGGAGACAGCTGCCCGGCACTCCAATTCCCTTCATCAAACCCTGCAGCCCACTTGGAAGGCTCATCAGCGGAGCCTCACCTGGACATTGCCGTGGGCCCGGGTGATGATGTCGATGCTCTCGCCGCTCTGCTTATACTCCAGGATGCAGGCGTTGTACTTCGCTGTCAGGATGAACAGTAGGTCCTTGCTCTCCCCCTGGGAACCAAATTATGCCGTCAAAAGAGGTTCTTTTTGAAATAGAAATTCCTGGCCAGCCTTTAGACATCGTTCTTTAAGCATTCTAAATTACTTAAAGACTTTTTTCTCCCTGAAGAGAAAATCTACAGTGAGTACATAACATAAGTGCACACAGGTGAAGGGTGTGTGCACAAGACCAGAACTGAAGCTGGCAAACATCGAATCCTCACTGTCATGATGCCACGTCTCTGTTCTACATTCAATTTCTTCATCTATTTCCGTATCAAGCTAATTGAAATCATTCCATTCAAATTCTGAAAGATGAACGTAAGGACTTCTCTAATCTCCAAGTATTTGGAGAAAGAGGAAAACCTGTGAATAACAATGAGGCTAAAATGGACCAACAGTCTTACTTATTATGATAACAAAGACCCCCTAAATATATTTTGTTTAAAGGGGCTGTAATTAAAATTCTAACCACTGCTTCTTGTCAGATTCATTACAATATAATGAAGTTAAAAAAAAAAAAAGCCAATATAATGAACTAATATGGTGGCTAATTAAGTAAAAACATTTAATAATAATCTTGCTGCAGGGCCGCTCCATGTTATTAAATCAGTTAATCTCCACACTAAACCAGGGGGTTGGAAACTTTAATCCCCATTTTGCAAACAGAAAATAAGGCTCTGGAAGATTAAGTAACACCTAAAGTTAGAATTCTTTTTTTTTTTTTTTTTAGATATATTTTATTGATTTTTTACAGAGGAAGGGAGAAGAACAGAGAGTTAGAAACATCGATCAGCTGCCTCCTGCACACCTCCTACTGGGGATGTGCCCACAACCAAGGTACATGCGCTTGACCGGATCTGAACCTGGGACCCTTCAGCCCTCAAGCTGACGCTCTAGCCACTGAGCCAAACCGGTTTTGGCTAAAGTTAGAATTCTTGAGGACTGAAGCCAGGGCTGCCCTACTCAGAGCCAATGCTCGGAGTCACCATGACGACCACAGTATGGTGACCCCCATCCCCAACTGCTTCCATTTCCCCTCTCACAGAAGTCCACTCGCTCAGTTTTTCCCGTCAAGTTCTCCCACTTCTAGGAAGCTTGTTCAAGAGTTTAAGTTAAAGCCTGCCCCTCAAAAGGAGTGGTTTCTCTCCTTCGCCTAGCTCCGCCCATCCCAAGCAACGACAGAAAACAACACAGGACCAGAAAACAACACTGGACCCTGGACTGTCTCCAAGGTGGGCCCCACCCTGAGCACTCACCTTGGGCCTGAAGAGCTCCATAACGGCGATCTTCCCGTACATGCCCACCTCTTTAACGGGCCGGAGCCCCTCCGCGGTGACCACATAGATCTCCAATCGCGTGTTCTTGGCAATCAGCAGGTTCAAGTCTTCCGCTGAAGTGAAGTGTCCTGAAGGAACAGAAGAGATAGATCCTCTCAGCGATGAAAGCCACAGCTTCAGAATCCTCACCTAATTCACAGATCGCTCCAGCTGCCTCCAGGCACTGCTCCCATCTCACTAGACACCGCACCTCAGTCTCTCTCACTCACGCGGCCATGAGAGCTGCTTCTCCAATCAGACTAAGAAAATCGGACGAGGAAACCTGGACAGGGTGTAAGGGCAGCGTGTCCTTCAACTGGCAATGACTGTGACCCCCCTCCCGATGGCTCTGCACCCTCCCCTTTCCTTTTCCTTTGGAGAGGGCACGCGCATCCTCTCACTGAGGAACGCAGGACTGGAGGCAGTGCTCCTTTCCATTACGTCCTTACCTAAATGTTCACCAAATCCTTACCAAACAAGCAGACCCGGTCACAGCTCTGCACGGAAACAACGCTTTGTCCACACCTCCTGCCCTCCCAGTGTCTACCAACAAGCACCCTCACCCACCCTTTCACCGCTTCCAACGCTCTGACAGCAGTTAGCATTTGCTGCAAGTTTGAGGCCCTCGCTTTGCTGAATACCGGGTTCAGGACTGATTATTCCCGTGTTCTGGACACCTGTGTTCTCCATCTGCGCGGAGTTAACAAGGCAGACCCAGCACCGGGTTGAGCCGTGCTCACCAGCCTTCCCAGCAGCGAGTAAACAACAGCCCCAGGCCAAGAGGACTCCATCCAGTTCAGCTCTGGGCGAGGGCGAGCGTTCCCCACACCCCTCCACCGCCCCTCACCCCGACCCCCACTCGGCCCCAGGCTCTCCTGAAGGAAAGTTCTGACCCCCAAGTCGCCCCCACCACCGCCCCTTCCCCCAACCACACGAGGCCCTTCTCGGGGCCCAAGCAGCGCCGCACGGCCAACTCACACTTCGCTCTCTGTCCTAGGGGGCCCGTCCCTGTCCTCGAGGTCAGATGATCCTCCCAGGACGAAAGGGGACCCCCGAAAGCAGCGTTTAAACCCCAAAAGCGCATGTGGACCCAGCTTCTTTGGAGTCGTGGGCTAAGAGAGGTTCCTCGGCCGCCGGCGCCCTCCCTTCCCCGGGCCAGATCCCGCCCGGCCGCCCTAAGGGTGGCGGGCCTCCCTAGGCCTCGGGGGCCCCCAGATCCCGCCCTCGCCGGGGTCTCCGGCCCTGGCAGCCTCACCGGTCACGCAGCCGTTCACGGCGGTGGGCTTCTGCGCCGTTACCACGTAGTTGTACGACATGTCGGGGACTGGGGCGGCCTGTCGAGACGAGAGCGCGACGATAGAGAAGAGGACACCAGCGGAGACACAGGGGGCCCTACCCGCGCGGCGAACTCCGCGGCCGCTGCCTCCGCCCCGCAGACACGTTGCAGCCCAGAGCGGCCGGGGCGCGGGGCATCACGGGACGGCTTCCCCTGGCCTCCTGGAGGACTCCCGGCGCCCCGGGCGGCCAATCAGAGAAGGCTCCGCCCCGGAGGCCCCGCCCCTCCGCGGGCTGCCGGCGCTTGGAATACCCGGATGAGGGCGCCCTTTGTGGGTCGCCGAGAAACCTTGGTGTCGGCGGGTTGGTGCCAGGGGAGTGAGGAGGGGTGGGAAGCTGACCCGCCGACCTCCCCCCCCTCCCAGAGCGCTCCCTCCCCTTCCCCAGGCCCGGTCCTACCCGACTCCGTGCCTCCCCGCCCTCGGGCGATCCATTCTTTGGAACCGGAAGCGCTGCCCCAGGCCGGGTCCTACCGGACTCCGTGCCTCCCCGCCCTCGAGCGATCCATTCTTTGGAACCAGAGGGAAGGGAGTTGACAGCAGTGTGTGCAGCTCTAAGGTCCGTGCCTCCCTTCCCTTAGCCCTCCCAGGTCCCCCAAACCCAGCTGACCCTCTCCTGACCTCAGAACCGCCTCACCTTGGGGAGGGGGGACACCAGGGGGCTCACCTCTCCCCTTTGAACTTTCGAAGGGCCCCTATTGCTGTGCAAATTCTGATCTCCTACAAAACCAGAACTTTCCAGGAGCACCTTAATGACCCAGAAAGGCAGTCATTAGCTCTGCAACTTAATAGGCCTCACCAGATCACGTGGCTGGGGGACCACGTGGTCTGCAGCACCAGCAGAAGGCCACAGATCATGAGGCCCCATTTTACAGATGAGGAAGCTGAGGCCCCCCCAGGGCATTGATTTACCTAAGATCCCCCAGAGGCAAAGGCAGAACTAGGCGCAGAGCCTGCCTGGCCTGTAACTCTTCCCATTGCAGACTCATTCAGTGCTCCCAAGACACCTCTGAGCCAGGCTGAACTGCGCGGAGCTATGGGTGATTTCCCACACCAGGGACTCTGCGTGACTTTGGAGGCATTGAATTCTCAGTGGGAAGAACACAGGCTTTGTGGAAAGACTAGATGTGGGTTTAAGTCCTGACTCTTAGCATGACCTTGAACAATTCCCTAGAGCAGTGGTTCTCAACCTTTCTAAATGCCTCGACCCTTTAATACAGTTCCTCATGTTGTGGTGACCCCCAATCATAAAATTATTTTCATTGCTACTTCATAACTGTAATTTTGCTACTGTTATGAATCATGTAAATATCTGTGTTTTCCGATGGTCTTAGACGACCCTGCTAGCGGTTCTCAACCGCTGAGGACTGCTGCTGTAGAGGAACTGTATTAAAGGTTCGAGGCATTAGAAAGGTTGAGAACCACTGCTCTAGAGCTTCGGAGTCAGTCCTAGAAGTAAAATGTGCTCACAGCTCAGCTGCCTTCCTCTTGGTCTGATACTAACAGCACCCAGAGCCAGGGCGTGAGCATCCCTGTGACTGTATTCACTGCACACGATGCTCATGCAGGAGAGGGTGCTGCTCTGGCTCATCTCGCCCTGTGGCAATGAGGTGGGTACTCTCTGGGGTGTAAAGACCTCCCTGTGCCCAGTGTGGGCAGATCTGCCTCCTGGCAGCCACTTCAGGTGAACCTTGATCCGCCCCATGCTCTACTCCATCCCCAGCGCACGTGTTGGAGTTTAGACTTGGCTCAGAGTCTGGGGCAGCTCCCTAATTACGAGGGCCTGGAAGCGTGACTGTGCCAGTAGGCTGTGGGCAACTCCAGCGGCACGTCCTCTGTCCTTCAGGTGCCACTGCCTCCTGCACCGAGCTCAGGCCCAGGCAGCACCCACAGGGCCAACCGTCCTCCGGCAGCTCATTGCCAAGGTGCGACCTCAGCTTGCTGGCTTCAGCCCCTCCCCACCATGGTGAGTCTCAGGAGGGCCAGGCCTGGGGAAGGGCACTGTGGGCTCGGGGCATGGGGGGGGGCAGGGGCCATGCCAGCCCTGGGCACCCTGGAGGCCCTTACATTCTGACCAAGATATGCTGCTGCCTCCTACGGCTCATAGAGGTTAAGACAGAGGGTCCGTCTCAGGGCCCGGACTCTGCTTCCCTCCATGTCCTAGCTAGTCCCAGCCAGGCCGGGCTGCAGCCTCCGAGGCCCTCCAGGCCCACCTGCCCCCCTGGTCTGGTCATGTCTTTAGGACAGTCACAGTGACCTACACTGGAGTAGACCTCTCCCAGCTACAGAGGGACCCTGAGGAAGGACGTGGCTGGTGTGGGCTGGTCCCGCGGGGTGGGGGTGGGGGGGGGGGGGGGGGAGGGGGTGTTTTTCCGCTTTGGGATGCTCAGCACTGCTGAGCATTGCTCCCTCTCCACTCCAGGACGATGTGTGCCAGAGCAGGCCTTGCACAGAACCAGGTCCCAGTGCCAGCTTCCCTGACCAGCTGTGCACCTCTATCTCTCTGAACGTCTCGCTCGTCGCAGAGCGAGGCGGGTTAACCCTCCAGGCAGTGGCCCTGGGTGTTTATCAGATGGAGTCCTGGGGCCGGGCACGGTGCCCTCAGGCCAAGGGAGCCAGGATGGGCCTAGCCTCAATGCCTCCTCTGACTCTGGTGTGGGGATGGTTGCAAATCCTGCAGGACAGGCTGTCAGCGATGGCGTGGGGGTCACCTTCTTGGGAAGGTGGGGGTGGCGCTGGAGGCTGGGCTGGAGCGGAGACCAATCACAGCTTTGCTGCCTGTGCCATCCCTGGTGGGCGAGCCCTCTGCCATTCGCAGCCTCCCTTCAGCCCCAGGGAGAGCAGCGTGGAGCAGCAAAATGGAGCCTGCGTTGGAGCCAGGCAGACACTGGCTGACCGTGTGGTCTTGGGCTAAGTCACTTAACTGTGCCTCAGTTTCCCCACGGAGATAACGCTTCCTCTACATCGTGAGAACAGGAACAAGACAAGCTCAAAAGCACCCAGAAGCTGCCTGGCTCTCGGCCATTGAGCAGAGTGGAGCAGATCTCGTTATTCTGCTCTCTCCCCACTGGCCTGTATCTGTCCCCTTGACCTGCAGCAGGTGGCTTGGCTCTGGTCCCTGCCAGACCCAGGCAAGGTCAAAGTTTACACAAAGGAGCCTGCTGCTCACAGGCTTGAGGGAGGAGCCTCAGGAAGTGCACCTTGCCAGGGCCCAGCTCAGAGGCAGGCTGCCCCGCCTCCGGCCCTCTGGGTCCCTCTGGGGCCCTAGTCCCACTCGCCCTGGGACAAATCAGAAGCTGCCTGGTCGCAGGCCTCCTCCAGCCAGCTACAGCTTTCTGGAAAAGGGAGTAGCTCCCTGTGTTCAGCTTTCACTGTGTGACAGGCTTGCGCCTGGGAAGGCCCAGTTTGCAGAGGGAGATCTGAAGCTCAGCACAGCAAGCTGCCTTCCCCAAGGCCTCATAGCAAGGCAGGGAGGCCTGGCATTGGATCCCAGCGTCCTGTGCCTGCGGAACCCAACCTTCACTGCTGTGCCCTGCCCAGCCATGTCGTCCTGCGCCCGTCAGCCCCTGGAACTCAGGCCGGCTGGCCCTGGCCCTCTGAGACTCCATATCCCGCCCCCTTTCTTTGTGTAGAAGCCATTCTTCAGGATAAAGTTAAGCCATAATCCAAAACATTTCAAAAGGGCAAACGATACAGATTAAAAGAGAACACCCCTCCTGATAAAATACACCCAGGTGCTGTGGCCCTGGAGTCCCCATGGGTGTGGAAGAGGGTCGTGGCCATAGCAACCTGACTGGTGCCTGAAAGCGCCTTCCCCGTAGACCTCCAAGAAGCTGGTGAACTCGGTGGCAGGCTGTGCGGATGACGCCCTGGCTGGCCTGGTGGCCTGCAACCCCAACCTGCAGCTCCTGCAGGGCCACCGTGTGGCCCTCCGCTTCGACTTGGACAGCCTCAAGGGCCGGGTGGCCCTGCTGTCGGGTGGGGGCTCCGGCCATGAGCCTGCCCACGCTGGTGAGTGTCCCCGGCCAGAGGTGAAGGTGGGGGCTCCGAGGAGATCATTGGGGCTGGTAGGAGGTTCAGAATGCAGGCCAGCACCCTCCTCCAGCACCCTCCCCAGCGCCCTCCCCAGGACTCACCCCCAGCACTCTTCCCCAGCATCCTCCCCAGCACCCTCCCCCAGCACCCTCCCCCAGCACCCTCCCCCAGCACCCTCCCCCAGCACCCTCCCCCAGCACCCTCCCCCAGCACCCTCCCCCAGCATTCTCCCCCAGCACCCTCCTCCAGCACCCTCCCCCAGCATCCTCTCACACCCATCACAGGGTTCATAGGGAAGGGGATGCTGACGGGGATCATCGCAGGAGCCGTGTTCGCTTCACCAGCAGTGGGCAGCATCCTGGCAGCCATCAGGGCAGTGGCCCAGGCGGGCACAGGTAAGCCTGTGGTGCAGGAGGGGCTGCTGCCAGGAGGCAATCTGGGGGGGCGGGGGGTTGAGGGCAAGCACCGATGGGCCCTGCTGCTGTTCCCTCAGCGGGCACCCTCCTCATCGTGAAGAACTACACTGGGGACCGGCTGAACTTCGGCCTGGCCCGCGAGCAGGCGCAGGCTGAGGGCATCCCCGTGGAGATGGTGGTCATCGGGGACGACTGTGCCTTCACGGTGGTGAAGAAGGCGGGCCGCCGGGGGCTCTGTGGTGTGGTGCTCATACACAAGGTGAGGTTCCCGCCCAGCCTGCTGCCACTCCACCCACAGGAGGCCATGCCTTCCCCAGTGCCCCCTCCCGCCTCAGCCAGCATCTCAGTGTTGTCCCAGGCCTTCCCTTCTTGCCCACACCCACCACAAGGCCTTCCTGGTGCCTCTGCACACACATCCTCCTCAGCCTGCCCCCGCCCCGGCCTCGGTCAGCGCGCTCCCGGGTGCTCCCCTTCCAGTCTGTTCCCACGCTACCCAGAGGTGCCTTCGGAAGATGGGTGTCTGTTGAGGCTGCTCGCCTCCTGACAGCCATCTGGGGCTCCTAGAGGCAGCCCAGGCCCATGGTCCAGCGCCCACCACACGCTTGCTTCCTCCCTGAACTTTCCCAGTTCATGTCCCATCATCCCCACCATGCTGTCATGCTCCATGAGTACCATTTCCCTGCACCATGGCTGCAGCCCCTCTGGGGCTTGCCTGATGCTGCACCCATGGCCGTAAGAGCCCTTTGTCCATCTAACTCAGTTGGCCTGGCTAACCCTCCTGTTCGGCTGAGGCCCAGCTCTGGTGTCTCCCATCCGGAGGTTTCCCTCCCCCACACTGAGCTGGTGAGAGCCCTGCTCTGTCCTCCATCCTCCTCCATGAACTGCCACTGCGTCCGCCTCCCCCACTGAGTGTGCCATCTGCGTCCTCCCCCAGCTCCTCCCACACCAGTCCCTTCCAGGGAGGGTTGTGAGCGAGTCACTTCCATTTGAGCACATACTAGATCAGTGGTTCTCAACCTTTCTAATGCCGCGGCCCTTTAACACAGTTCCTCATGTGGTGGTGACCCCCAACCACAAAATTATTTTCGTTGCTACTTCATAACCGTAATTTTGCTACTGTTATGAATCGTAATGTAATTATCTGTGTCGCGACCCATAGTTTGAGAACCGCTGCTGTAGAGCCTAAGACCATTGGCAAACACAGATATTTACATTATGATTCATTAACAGTAGCAAAATTACCGTTATGAAGGAGCAATGAAAATAATTGTATGGCTGGGGGTCACCACAACATGAGGAACTGTGTTAAAGGGTCGCGGCATTAGGAAGGTTGAGAACTACTGTACTAGACGCTTGGCAAAAAGTGAGTGGGTGGGTGGATGAATATGGGGGGGGGGGGGTAAAGTGAGCCGCAGGATACATGCCCCAAGAGAAAGACCTCTACACTGGGAATCAGGAAACTGGCCATCAGCCCACTGTGTGACATTAGACAAGAAACCTGCCGAAACTGGTTTGGCTCAATGGATAGAGCGTCGCCCTAGGGACTGAAAGGTCCCAGGTTCGATTCCGGTCAAGGGCATGTACCTTGGTTGCGGGCACATCCCCAGTTGGGGGGGTGCAGGATGCAGCTGATCGATGACTCTCTCTCATCGATGTTTCTAACTATCTCTCGCCCTTCCTCTCTGTACAAAATCAATAAAATATATTTTTAAAAAAAAAAAAAAAGGAAACCTCCCCTCTCTGGGCCCATTTCTCCGTTGGTAGGGTTCTTTCTGGCTCCAACAGACTGTTTGCTAAAGATTCCTGGCAGGTCCTTGTGAGCGCACCACCAGGACGGTGGAGCCGTTCGCCCTCCACCAGGGCCAGGTGGATGTGGCAGTGCCCAGAGTCCCTCCAGCCCCCAAGCGCCACAGTGACTCCTGTCCCTGGGGGGCTTCTTTCTGTGTGAATACAGATAGCGGGTGCCCTGGCTGAGGCCGGTGTGCCGCTGAAGGAGATCAAAGACCGGGTGAGCGTGGCTGCCAAGGCCATGGGTGAGTGCCAGCCCAGGGGTCGGAAGCGGGGAGGGCGGGGAAGGCTGCCTTGGGCCCGGGAGCAGTTCCCAGCGGCTGCCTAGGAGGGCCGGCCCAGTGTTCCGGGGGCTGAGGGGTCTCCCTGGGGGAGCCAGGGCACTAGTAGCCTTGGGTCCCGGAGCCAGGTTTCTCTTCATCCAAGGTGAAGAGGCTGCCTGCCTAAGCCTGCTGCCCTGGCCGATGCCAGTGCAGGGCCGTCACCGTTCACACCTCCTCTCTCACAGGAACCTTGGGCTTGAGCTTGTCCTCCTGCAGTGTCCCTGGTTCCAGACCCAACTTTGAACTTGCCGCTGATGAGGTAGAGCTGGGCCTGGGTGAGTGTTGGCCACCCCTGTCCCAGCTGCGCCTGCTCCCTGGGTTGTACCCACAATGCCCCGGGAGCCCTCCGCCCGTCCTTCCCGCTGAGCCGCAGCTGTCCCATGGGTGCTTGTGGTTTTAAATGGGCACTTGAAGCTCTTCGGGCTCCACCGGTCCATTCTACCTGCTTTGCCATCCATACCCAGGCTCCCGCCAGGGGAGGCTCCGTCCGTCCAGGCACTGCCCCCTCCCTGCCCCTGCTCACCTCCCTCCAGGGTCTCCGCACAGGCTGCCCTCCTCCTGCGCCTCCGAGGCGGCGCTCTCCCTCCTGCCCGGTGCTCCCAACGTGATGGGCGGAGGCTCACGTCTCCTTGCTTGACTGCCTCTCGCTCAAGCTCTTCGCTGGTTACGAGTCCAGTTCATGGCTTTCTCTACCACAAACCAAGCTCCGGGAGGGCAGAAACCATGTCGTTTTCACTGTCCTGCCCGTTTCTACCCGCTCCCCACCTCCACGGCCCCGAGCTAGTCCCAAGCCAATCTCGGTACAAACACGTCAGCATGACTGCTCTGTCCGCAGGGATCCACGGGGAAGCGGGCGTGCGCCGGATGAAGGTAGGTGGACGCCCCGGCCCAGGCTGGTCTAAGGCCGAGGCCTCGGGCACAGCTCACTCCCGGGTCCTTCCGGCAGATGGCACCCGCCGACGAGATTGTGAGGCTCATGCTCGACCACATGACCAACACCTCCAACGTGTCACACGTGTCTGTGCAGGCCGGTGAGGGCGCTTACAGGAGTTCCTTGGTCTCCCAGCCTGACCCCCATCCCGTGCCTCCCCCCTCCCCACCGGGTGAGGGGCCCAGAGAGGCTCACGGCGAAGCATCTGCCCACAGGCTCCTCGGTGGTGCTGGTGGTGAACAACCTAGGCGGCCTGTCGGTGCTGGAGCTGGGCATCGTGGCCGACGCAGCCATCCGCACTCTGGGTGAGCCCCTCCCCGAGAAGGCGCCTGCCAGCACCCAGAGCTCTTCCCTCCAGCCTGGCTGGTGTGGCTCAGTGGGTTGGGCATAATCCCATGCACAGAAAGGTTGTCGGTTTGATTCCTGGTGGGACCCATGCCGGAGTTGCAGGCTCGATCCCCAGCAGGGGGTGTGTAGGAGGCATCCGATCTATGTCTCACTGTCACATCAATATTTCTCTCCCTTTCCCTTCCTCTCTGAAAAACCAATACAAATTTTGTTTTGAAAAAGAAAAGAAAAGAACAGCTGAGGTGGGGTCTTGTGATGGCCCAGAGCTTGGGCTGTGCAGTCAGACGAGCCTGAGCTAGGGCTTTAGTCCACCTGATTGCGAGTGTGGAGCCTGCCCCTGGCGTAGGGGGTAAGGATGGTCCCTGCCTCCTAGGCGGCTGTGAAGATTAAATGAAACTAAACATGCATAACCACTTGGCACAGAGCCTGGCACCTGGCAGAGCTCAGCAAATGAGACCTGCAGGGACCCATCTGCCCTGTAGAGGGGACACGGCAGGGGACGTGTGACTCGGGGCATTGGAGGGATGCCCTGAGCAGACCTGGCCGTCTCCCTGCTGGCCCCTTGGTTTTCTCTTACCCCGTTTCTCTCTTCTGGGGGAAGTACCGCCCTCGTGGCCTTTCCTCAGGGTCGTCCGTGCTTTGCTGTTGCAGAGAGCCGCGGGGTGAAGGTTGCCCGTGCCCTGGTGGGCACCTTCATGTCAGCGCTGGAGATGCCTGGCCTCTCTCTCACCCTCCTGCTCGTGGATGAGTCCCGCCTGAAACTGATAGGTGAGACCTACAGCCCGGGCCATCCAAGCCAGGGCTCCTTGGAGCTGGAGAAGGCCAGGGGCCGTGGGGAGACCCCAGCAGAGGTCTGATGAACCATGACCGTCAGGCCCCATGGAGGGCCCTTCTGATTCTCCAGCTCTCACGTGACTGGAGGAGTTGGTGTTAGGCTCCTCCCAGGGACAGCCCCTCTTCCCTTGTACACAGCAGGCACTTAGTACTTGCTTTTTGAGGTGAAGGGAATTGGCCACCAGGGGGAATCAGGTCCCACTTGACCTCTGGCCAGGCACCCCATGTCTAAGAAAGTCACCCTGCTGACTCTAGATGCTGAGACCACCGCGTCGGCCTGGCCTCACATGCCCAAGGTCTCTGTGACGGGGCAGAAGCGGATCCGGCCAGCCCCCGCCCACCCCACAGAGGCTCCTGATATCACTGTAGAAGGTACCAAGCCCTGCTGTTGGGGCAGGCGACCCAGGCATTGGCCTGAGTCCCGAAGGGTGAGGGGTGTGCAGGGGCCCTAACACCCATATCTCCCACACCTTCAAGTCAGCTCTGAGAAGGGCCAGGTGCTCCTCCCCCCGCTGTCCTCCCTGCAGGCTTGAGCTCCAAGCGGATGGTGCTCGTGCTGGAACAGGTGTGTGCTACCCTCCTGGACATGGAGGAGTACCTCAACACCCTGGACCGTGTGTCCGGCGATGGGGACTGTGGGACCACCCACAGCCGCGCTGCCCGAGGTGGGTGCAGGGGCCCCTGCAGCGAGGGGCTGGGTCACGTTTCTGCGATTTGGGTGTTTCATGAACCAGAACCATCTCAGAAACATTCGGAGCGCTGGCATGGGTTGCCAACTTCTCCTTTGCCAAGCGCAGTCACGCACAAAACCTCGCCCCGTCCACCATTTTCATGGAGAATAGGCCGTCACCGCTACAGGCGTGGGGATCGTCACTGTAGAGCCAGTCTCTCACAGTGAGACGAGGTTCCCAGGGAACTCGCTCCGTAGTCCTCGTTTCTCACGTTCCTGGGCGAGGGCACCCTCACTGTCCAGCGTCATCAGGAACCCCAGTGCCTGTCGGGGGCCAGGCAGCTGCGGGACAGCAGCGAGCAAAGCGGATGAGAAGCGCAGCCCTCGTGGCTTATACCCAGTACAAGACCCAGGATGGCGTGGCGGCTGAGGAGGAGCATCGGCCGGGCCGCGAGGCCCGCCGCCCGCTGCTCCTCAGCCTCTGCCCTGCACACTGGATAGAGAGGGGGAGCCTGGGGTTCCCGCCCTCCCTCTGCCTGCTGTGGGGAGCGTGCCCGTTGGGAGGGAGGGCCTCTGACCTCCCCCCGCTCCGCCTGCAGCGATCCAGGAGTGGCTGAGAGAGAGCCCACCCCCCGCCCACCCTGCCAAGCTGCTCTCCCAGCTGTCCCTCCTGCTGCTGGATAAAATGGGAGGCTCGTCCGGGGCCGTGAGTGCGGCAGTGCCCGGGGCGGAGGGCTGAGAGGGCCTGGGCTGGCTGCGGCACGGCTGGCCCGAAGGTAAAAACTTGTGGTCCTCCCAGCTCTACGGCCTGTTCCTGACCGCAGCGGCCCAGCCCCTCAAGGCCAGCACTGACCTCCCAGCCTGGTCTGCTGCCATGGACGCCGGCCTGGAGGCCATGAGGAAGTGAGTGGAGCCTGTGCCCCAGCCCAGGGTGGGCGGGGAGCGGGGAGATGTCACCTGCTCCCGGCCAGGCCCTGCTCCACCCCAGCATCCCCTCCAGTGAACCGCCGTTCTCTCCCGGCAGGTATGGGAAGGCTGCCCCAGGAGACAGGACTATGGTGTGTATGCGCCCAGCCCTTCCCCTTTGGATGGCCACCCTGTGCAAGGACCTGTGCTCACCCCCATCCTCCCCTTGTCCAGCTGGATTCTCTCTGGGCAGCGGGACAGGAGCTCCAAGCCTTGAGGAACCCACAGGCTAATCTGTTCCACATCCTGACCAAGGCAGTGGAGGTGAGTGGAGGCCCCGCCACCCGGGGGACAGGCTGGGAGCTGGTCAATACCCTTCCCGTGCTCGGCTCCCTCCTCTGAGGAGAGATGAGCCTGTCCAGGGGGGAGCGAGGCTGGGGAGTAACAGCTGCACTTGGTAACTGGGCACAGCAGGTCCGCAGTAAGTGGGGCCCCGGGCCTTGCTGCAGACAGGTGGGAGGTGAGTGCTCTGCCCTGGGACAGTACAGAGGTGCTGGCAGAGGGGGACAGGAGGGTCCAGGGCCTCCCCCGAGCCCAGGCCTTGCTTCAGGGCAGGAAGGCGGCCGGAGGCTTGTCCTTAACCCTGCTTCTCTCCGTCCCCCTCAGAGCGCCGAAGCTGCGGCCCAGGCCACCAAGAACATGACGGCTGGAGCTGGGAGAGCCAGTTATATCAGCTCCACGAAGCTCGACGAGCCAGACCCCGGGGCAGTGGCCACTGCAGCCATTCTCCGGTCCATCCTGCAGGTCCTGAAGAACCTGGAGAGCGAGTGAGTGCAGAGGCCGCCTGCCACTTCCCTCTGCCTCCCACCGGCCACCGCCCTTGCTTCGCAGGCCCATCCTCTGAGTTCAGCAGGAACCGCTGCCAGCCTCCAGAGCGGCTGCAGTGCAGACTGCAGTTCCAGAGGGGTCACTGCCTGCGCAGGGAGGGTGGGTCCCGGGCTCCCACTCTGCCCCAGCCCCGCTGCCTGGGCCTCCACAGCGGGTGGGCGTGTCCCTGGGGCAGCACAGCCGTCACTGGCATTGCTGAGCCTGTGCCCGCGTGAAAAGCAGCTAATAAACCACATCAGACCAGAGCTTCGGCCGCCTCTGAGGCCGTCTCCAGGCGTGTGAGTAGCGGCCCTCTGCTGCCGGGACAGCGCTCAGCCCCGGGCGAGGTGACCCCTCCTTCCACACGAGACGCACAGGCCAGGCCTGCACAGCTGGGCTGGCTCCACTGGACCTCAGTCCTGTCCTCCCCATACGCAAGCCACCCGACGGTGTGCTTTCCTCCGCACTGAACTCAGAGCGCCCTGGTTCTTCAGGCATCAAGTGGGCAAATGGGACGCCCGGAGGGAAAGAAGCCACCATGTCGTCCGGGTGGTGGCGCAGAAAGCGCGCCCAGGCCAGCCCTGCTCTCAGCAATCCCGTGCATGTGGCAGGACAGCGCACACCTGACCCGTGCTCAGTGCGGGGCGGTCACAGGCCCTGAGTTCTCTCACGTGGATGCGGCTAGGTCCTGGTTCTGCTTCAAACCAGCTACAGCGGCTCACGCCTGTTCTTTAGCCCCTTGGAGTCTGGGAAACAGAATGGTGCCCGTCTTGTGGGGACAGGAACAGGGTCCAAGGAATTGATGTGAAGCCCCAGCACAGTCTGGGGCCCACGCCCTGCGGGTTACTGCTCCCACTGGTGTCTGCACCCAGCATCCAGGTCCTGCTCTACCACGTACATGCACAGCTGGTCACCCTGGAGGCCCCATCAGTCACACCCCAACTTGGCTGCAGCCTCACTCAGCCAGGGTTCCTGAGCACCAGCCCCCCCCCACCCCCCCCACCGGTCCCTGACCACGAGGCAGCTATCAGTGTGCGCAGACGCACACCCAGCAGCCGGGGAGGGGACTGGCATCAGACACCTGCCGGTGGGCCCAGCACTGCCACTTCCTGTCAGGTGACCTCAGGCAAGTGTGTGTGAGCACACACCAGGGAGCACGTCCTTATTTGTGATCCCAGTGCTCAGGGCCACTCGCCGAGGGACGGCCACCCAGCAGGAGTGGCAGCTCCCGGGCGGCAGTCTGTGGGCCTCTGGTGTCTGCCTTGTCCCTCTCCAGGCCTCAGGGTCAGAACTGTCCTGAGCTGCCCAGCGCTCACTTAGCCAATCTCATTCCCGCACAAGAGGCTTTGATTTTTTAAAAATTATTTAATGAAAACCAGGCTTTACAAACCGGTGAAATGCCTGCCCTGGTGGTAAGGAGGGTCACGTGACAAGCTGCCTGGCAGTCACTGCAGTGGCTTTGAGCCTTTGGCCACCAGAGGGTCCGGCGGAGTCCTGCGGCATCTGGCCTGTGGGGTCGGTGGCCAGTCGGCCTCATCGCCACGGGCCAGAGAGGAAGAAGCACACCCCGGACACCGGGCACCGGGCAGCATGCTGCTGGTCTGTGCACAGCATGTGGCACCTGGGACCCAGCAGGACTCGTTTGGAGGAGGCAGGGAAAGCCAAAGCCCCAGCCCCTAGGAGAGGAGCCAGGCCCCTCCCACCCCCCAATCCCTCGGAAGAAGCTCGGCTCGCGTGAGGCACAAGGCGGGCTGCGGCCTGCGAGCAGCCACTGTGGGGGCAGGAGGCTCATGCCCAGCAGAAAACACGGGCGAAGGTGGCCGTGGTCCTCGGCTCTGCTGGGACAAAGCACCCCAACGCCGGTCGTGTCGTGGTGGCCCCAACCTGGCGAAGGAGAGTAAGGCAGCCCTGCCAGCCTCCCCGCCGGGACAGCTGGGGGCAGCAGGCTCCCAGGCTCCTTGGGCTGCCTGACGGGGACAGGCCAGGATCCAGGTCCCAGCTGTAGCAGCACCAGGAAGTGATGGAGCCACACGGTCACAGTGGACTCGAGACATGAGCAGGCAGCGCCTCAGTTTCCTTGCAGAGCTGCTCTGCCCCCCCCCCGCCTCCCTTCACTCTGAGCTCCCGCCCAGCCTCACGTCCAGGGGCCAGCCATGGCGGGTGCCTAAAGGCCATGCACACGTTCCACGGGAGAGCGGACAGGCAGGTCACCCCTCGTTCAAGTTACAGATGCGCTTGAGTCCAGCCATCTGAGCTGATGGGACCTCCCCCCACCTCCAGGGTCTAGGGAATCGGCTCAGCTGGGAGCAGGCGTGTGAGCGGCCGGGCAGGGGGCCTGTGCAAAGGGAGGGCCTCAGAAGCCAACGCCAGGAAGGAGTGCAGAGGAGAGACTAGGCAGCACGTGGCGGCGACAGCCCGCGGGCAGCGAGGTGGGAGCCCCGGGTGGAGCAGAGGTTCGGAGGGAGTCCAGACGCACCGGCCGCTCCTGCGTCCCTTCTTGCTTCACTCCCTTTCACGCAGCAGGGGCTGGAAGAGCAGGCGCACAGGTTAACAGCATAACTCGATGGCCCTGGGCCTGCGGGTGCCACCAGGTCTGAGCTGTTCACACAGACCCCAACCTTCAGTCCCCAACTCACAACATCTTTCAGGGAAGCCCAAAGTCCCTCAGCTTGACACGCCCTTCACCCCTCGCCCCTCCTCGCCCAGATACAGAGTGGCCAACAGGCAGAACTTGCTCCAAGTACTCAGCTTGTCACCAAGCGCCTGCCAGACCAGCCTCAAACTGGTGCACAAGTGATGACACCCCCTTCACGCCCAAGGCTCCCCTGGGGAGCCACACTTGCCCTCCTGAAGCCACAAGAACCTGGGAAGGGAGGAACCCCCACCCGCTCCCAGTAGACCGGCCCCCAGGAGCCCCGGAGCCTGCATCTGCCCCGATGGCTGGGCTGGAGGCTGCTGACAGCAGTGCCCCCACTTCCAGCTGCTGGTACCCCACATGTTCCGGGGTTAGTCTTCCTGGTAAGACCCACACCTCCCCCGGTGACCTTCCCCCAGCCGCACCTGTCCTTCGGTCGTGACCCCCACTTCCGGGCGTTTCCAGGATGAGGCCTGCAGGAGGTAGAGCACCAGCAGCCCGAAGGCCACCACCAGCATCCCGGTGCTGTTGGCAAAGACGGCCTCGCCGGGCAGGCTGGAGTACGGCCTGGTGGCGTTCTTCCTGTGGACGGCGTGTGGGCCTGAGACTCCGCCTGCTCTCGCCCGGCGGGAGAGCCAGGGCCACGCACAGAGGTGCTGACGCTGCTGAGCCCAGCACCAACCCCTGCGGAGCGCCCTCCCTGAGCGGAATGCTGGGCCTCGGCCCTCATGTCTACGTCGCCCTGACCATGGGGTCGATGCCGTGGGGCAATCCGAGGACCACATTTAAGGGGCTTTGCAGAGTTCGGCACCCAGTAGTGCTCAGTCAGGCTGATGCTGGAGAAATATCTACTGGCCATTTACCAACTCCTCCCAAAGACAGGCCACTGCCTTCCCGATCGGGGCACACCAGCCTGAGGCCCCCCTGGGAGGGCCCTGTGCCCACAGAGCCATCTTCTCAAGATCCCGCTCTTTCCCCTCCACGCAGAGGGGCCACCCCACTCACAGGCTGAAGAAGAGCTTCTCGTTGATGCCGGAAATGACAGATGCCATGGCCAGAGCGAGGATGGAGGCTCCGAAGAAGACGTGGACAGGCTTGAGGAGACTGCGCAGCTGGAGGGACGCCCAGGGCAGCAGGAAGACCGCAAAGCCCAGGAGCCACTGCGGACGGACGGGGGAGAAGCACCTGACCCGCCTGTGACCAAAGGCGCTGTCACCCCACCCCCAGCGCCTCCGGCTGTGCAGGGACCTTCTCCCTTCACTCCCATCTCAAACCTCCCACCGGGAACTGCCCCAGCACCTCTGGGTCCTCCCTGTGCTCTGCTTCTCCTACACAAACAAGAACCTTCCATGACCTCGTAGCTACAACCCCCTCTCCCGTGAACAGTCATCCTCGCCAGCTCCGCTTCCTTCCGGCCTGGCTCACACAGACCCTGCGACGGCAGACCAGCAGGGGGATGGGCACAGGGCGAGTGCGGGACCCCCGTCTCCACGGCCCTTTCTGTCCACCCACAGTGGTGCCTGCAATGCCGCCTCCAGGCCACGAGCACAGGGAATACTTGGTGCTGATCAAGTGAAGGCCCAGCCCGAGCCCTGGCTGCCAGCCGGCAGTGGGGGCCAGAGGAGGGCAGGGCACCCACCTGGCAGGCGAAGAGGAAGACGGCGGTGATGCCCAGCCAGCTGTGCAGGGAGTACAGGTTGGCGATGTGCTTGCTGTTGTGGTACCTGAACACGGCCACCAGCCCCAGCACCGTCAGGAGGAAGGCCAGCAGGTGCAGGGACGCGTGGGCGACTTTCCAGGGCAGCTTGGGCCCCACCCAGGACTGGGGCAGGCGGTACACCAGCGACGCTGCCGGAGAGACAGTCCAGGCTCGGCTCCTCCCCTCGTGCCCGCCACACGTGGGGGGATTACCCTGACATGTGCCCATACAGCCTCCGCCGAGGGAGGGGGAGGGGGGAGGCCGGACGTGGATCAGGAAATGCTAGGACTCATCGGTGTCTTCTATCCTGGCCTCGATCCCGGGCCTTCAGCCAGCCGTGAAGGCAGGAGGGAGGGCAGAGATGAAAAGGGAGCAGTTCCCTGGGCCTGCCCTTCGCACTGCGATGCTCAGGGGGTCTGCAGGCAGTTGTGCAGGTGAGAAGCACCATCTCTAGTTCTCCATCAACCTGAACTCTCACAGCGAGTCATTATCAAGATGCAGGCCAATAAAAAAATAAAAAAAAAAAAAGATGCACACCGGTAGTTGACTTGGTCCAAACCCTGGCTCTGCCTGCTAGCTACTTGCGTCTTCTTTCTAAATCTCAGTTTCCTCATCTGTAGAATGGGCTAACAACAGAGCCCACTTCACAAGCTTCTCATAAAAACACAATGGGATGATGTCCCTGAAGCTCACGGGTAAGCTGCTTTCACCAGGGTCACTGCCACCCCCATTTTAGTGGGGGAAGGAGGCCCTCCGGGCCCCAAGCCCAGCTCTGGATGCCTGGGGCCACGATGGGTCCGGCAGGAGTAAGCAGACCCCTTACACAAGGGCCCATTAGGCCAACAGAGTGTCCACCTCCCGCTCCCTAGCCGGGATGGCAAACTGCAGCTCAAAGACCAGTCCCGCCTTGCCCATCTCTGAGAGTGAGGCGTCCCTGGACAGCCAGGCACAGGCTCCCGTCCCACCATGGCTTCCCTCCCAGCACAGCCCTTTCAAACGCAGAGAAAGAACCCGGGAAGCTGCCCTTCCCACAGGCACCACCCTCACTGCTGCTTCTTCCCAAGGACACCTGTGCCCAACGGCAGGCCACCCGGCCGACACCCACAGCCCTGAGCCCAGAGGGACAGAGCCAGTCCCGGGAGGGGCTGCTCCGCACGCCTCCCACGCTGACCTCACACTCACCAGCGCTGTAGACCACCACCATGCCAGCCACCATGAGCACCGGGTGACAGTTGAACATGAGGGTGCTGCCATCCCAGGCAAAGCCGCCGTGCCAGTTCCACATCCAGTAGACGGTGAAGAGGACGCACACAGAGCCCAGGGACGACAGCGCCAGCACCAACAGGTAAAACCGCCCCTCGGCCATTGCGACCAGCTCCTAGGAGCAGCGGCAGTCAGCGTCCCGGCCGCTCAGCGCACCCACCAGCTCAGACCGCTTCGCTTCATCCCCCCGGGCACCGCCCCGTGGGCCCTGACCCCTATTAGGGACCGAGACTGACCCCAGCCCGTACCTGGGAGCACGCAGGACACCCCGCAGGCCGGGGGCTGGCTCGGAGTGGCGTCTCCTCTGCTGGGGCCGGGCCGGGCCGGGGCTCTGGGCCCGCAGGACCGGGGATACAGAATGACCCACACGGAAAGCGGGGACAGGAAGCCGCCCCAGGCGGGGAGGCCCTGGGCTCCCCCTTCTACCGAGCAGCTCTCCCCATGTGAGCTCTGTGGGCGCCTTCCCTCCCCATCCCACACGCTACACCTGGAACTGGGCGGCGGCCTCAGCCAATCCCCAGGCCCGAGACTTCCGCTTTCTCTTCCTCTGGGGAAAGTCCAGAGCAGAAGAGGAAGCAAGAACTCATGGTCTAGAAAGCAGGAGTGCACAGCACGCCTCACTTGACATGGAACTGCGGTGAAATGAGACGATGCAGCCAGTTTTGCCCCAGCCTCCGCGTTCTAAACAAGAGTGAAGTCCCCACTGTCTCATCGGGGTTAAACGAGGACCCGCTGTGTTTCCACCCGCGCCTGACAACTCAGAAAGCAACTCTGGTGCCAGGCCTGGGGTGCGAGGCCCCAAGCAGTGCCCTTCAGGCAGGCAGGTGCGCGCGAGGCTTAGCGGGCCAGTGCACTGCCTCCAGCTAACGTACAGGGAGCAGGCCCGGTTCTCCACGCCGTCACCCCATCCTACGGGCTCCCCAAAAGGCTTCCTGCAGGTGAGGCCCCTCGGTCTGAACCAGCACGCAGAGAGAAGGGGGCCCCTAAAAGAGCCAAGCACTCCCCAGGAGAGAACGCTCTCCTTCCTCACCTCAGACCCGGGGGCACTGCGGAGCGGGGGCCTGGGAGGCGGGCAGCCCGAGCAGACAGAAAGGCACAGCTGTGAGGACAGAACTCCACAAGGCAGCTCCGAGCACACGATAACAGACTCCTCCTAACAGCCCTGTGAGGGGCGCCTCCCCATTTTACAGACAAGGACTCGGAGGCTCAGAGGACTAAGAGCAGGGAGTTTCAAACCCTTACCGGGGTGGCTTCAGGGCCAGTTTTTTCCTTGACCACAGTGTCAGAGGGCGTGAGAAAATGTAAGGATGTGGTGAAAGTGAGGTATTCCACTATTCTCAGTGTTGTCGCTAAGAAAAAATCTACCAGCAAAAACCTGAAGCTCAACCCTAGCTGGTGTTGCTCAGTGGATAGAGCATTGGCTTGTGGACTGAAGGGTCCCAGGTTCGATTCCAGTCAAGGGCATGTGCCCAGATTGTGGGCTCCATCCCCAGTAGGACATGTACAGGAAGCAGACAATCAATGATTCTCTCTCATCATCGATGTTCCTCTCTCTCTGAAATCAGTAACATTTAAACAACAACAGAAACCTCAAACTCGCAGCCTTCGTGCCTGCCCAGGCCTCTCAGTGGCCCTGACTCTGTGCCAGGCCAGCTCTCTCCAGCCAGCTGTCCACCTAACCAGAACAGACACAGCGCTCTCACACGTGACCCAAGCTGGCGATCATCTCTGATCAAGGGTCACCTGAGGTCTGGGGAAAGAAACAAGCTTCCACGAGGCTGGAAGAGGCAATCGTGCCATCAGCTCCCTCCTCAACCCGGAGCCCAGAGCGGTCGCCTGGTTCCTGCGAGAGCTTCTGTGCAGGGCAGGATGGGAACATTATCCGTTTGTCACCAGACCCTCTCACCCCTCCGCCCCCGGGGAAGGGCTAAGTCAGGAAGGGCTCTTGGTCAGTGGGCTCCACCCATCAAACAGCATCTACATCTACGCTCAGCATTTCCCTTTGTTAAGGGAAAAAGGAATATAACCCAAAGGGGACTGGACCCACGCCCCTGGCAGAGGTCCCGTTACTGCGCAGGGGTGGGCTTGGAGCAGACGACAGGGCCTTCCCAACAGGGGCGCAGTGCACAGCGCACAGACAGCTCTCCTCTGCCTGAGAGACAGCAAAGCAGAGAAAAGGGAAGAGTGGGGGGTGGGGGGTGTAAGCAGCCACCAGACGCCGAGAGCACCCTCTCTTTTACTGCGGCGTGCTGGTCCAGATGTGCTCACTGCCGCGGGGTCTCCGGTTCCACCCTCGCTTCTCGGGGGCCCCTTCTCAGACGGACGACCGCAAGCTCTTCTGTGCAGGGCAGGATGGGAACATTATCCGTCTGTCACAGCCATGCCACCCTCTCTGCTGATGCCGTCACCGGCGAAGCCTTCACAAAGCGATGAGGCTGTGCTCCAAAGAAACGTGACCGACGGACACCGAGCCTCAGTTTACCGTCATGTTCACGTCCCCAAACAGCACCCTTTTCATTTCTCTTCAACCATTTAATGCGCAACCCACTCAGGAGAGCCTGATTTGGCCTGTGAGGTCTGCCGACCCCGACTGAAGGCGTCTACTTGCCAATCTAAACCTCTCCTGTGGCCCAGGCAGGATTCTCGGCTGCGCAAACACAGCTGGGCCCGGGGGCAGGATCGGGTAGGGCACAGCTGGGAGACACCGTGGCTTTGGTTCCAGGCCATCAGCGAGGCGAGTGTCGCAGGAAAGCCAGCCGTAACTTTTTTGCTGGCGGAGGGCCTCACCTTTGTAAGAAATGCAGCAGCCATGAAGTGCAACAAAGCGAGTGCACGAATGCAGCTGAGGGAGCCATGCCTGCACTTCCCAGTGAGCTCAGATCAGGCAGAGGCTCCCTGTCAAACTCGTAAATGTTACTTTTAGCACTTAGAGCTGCAAGCGGATGGAAGGACAAAGTCATGTCCTTGCTCCCCCTTCCCAGGCGGAGTGGGGGCTTGAGGAACCCAGAATCTCAGGTACCCGGCACAACTCCCAGCCCTGCAGCTCCCCTCGGAGAATGCACACCCCAGCCTTTGCTCCGCGTGTACTTTTGCTCTCTGCACTCTAAGGGTCCCCACAGGACTTGCAACCAGGGGAGCAGCGGGCAGCGGCAGCTTGTCCTGGGCTCACCACCTGATCCTGTCGCCAAGGCTCCCTTTTCTCCACCCTTCCTGAGCCAAAGCAGCCCCCCCTCAACTCTTCTGCTGCTGCGTCTACCCTCAGCCCGTACGTGCTCCACGGATCCCAGCTTTTTTCCTCTCAAAAAAATACAAAAAATAAAATAAAAAATTGGCTCCAAAGAGGAAATGGGACTTGGCCCAGGTGCGGAGCTGAGCTGGTGCAGGAATCCCTGTTCATTCCCCTCAGTGGCAAGGTCTCCCCACCTCCGAGGGCAGCTCCTGTGAAGTCAGGGTTCAGGAGTGAGGGACCCTAAGTTCCAGCCCCGAGGTGGACAAGCAAAGCCCTCCTTAGCACCAGTGACTGCAGACCTTCCCCTCTGACTGTGCCCGGCCTGGCTCAGGGGTCCCGAGGACCATCCCAGGGCTGCGGGGACCAACCCAGACTCCCTGCCAAACGGAGGCTGCCCCAGCCCATGGAGAGGGGGTGGGGGGGAACCAAGGCGGCCAGCTCCGCGGCTCCACCTGCGGGCGGCGCCTTCGGGAGGGATTCCATGTCCTCACAACCACCGCCGGTGGGAGGAAGGGCCCGGACACCGGTGTCCACTTCCTAAAAGAGGAAACTGAGGCCGAGCGAGAGCCCGCGACTGTGCGAAACTGGGTAGCAGCGAAGGCAGCACTCGAACCCAGGTCCCAGAACTCCCAGCCCGGGCTCTCACCCCCGAACCACAGTGGGATGCGGCCGAGTCTGGGGATTCCGAGACCCGCCTCTGCCACCCGGCGGCCGTTCTCGAGGGTCCCAGGTGAATTGACACAGACGGGCCGCGAGCGCCGTACGCACCGGGCACCGAAGCCCTGGGACGGGCCGGCGAGGCCACCTCGGCCGTTTATAGGCTCATGGCACTTCCGGCCGCGCGCGTGGCCGCCTGGGAAATGAAGTCCGGAGTAGCCCTCTCCTCCCGCGTCAAGAGGCTGACTCCCATTCCACTTCCGCCGCGGGTGTTTCTCCCCCATCCCAAGCCGGGGGGCCCAGGGGCCGGCAACGCTGCCCCTCACTCCCCGAAATGTTCGGGCCCCGCGACACCGCCCGCCAGGGGTTGGCGCTCAGCAAGGCCACGCGGAGGTGGCGGGCCTAGGAACACGGAGGCCCCCCCAACATGGCCACCCGGCGGACCACTGAGCGAGCGGGAAAGCCTCCTCCTCCGCCTACTTCCGGAATTTGAAACCGGTTTCCGGAAGCCAGGTGAGTGTCCCCATGGCAACCAGCGTTGGGCTTGGAGGTGAGTGTGCTTGAGGATTTGCAGAGAAAGTAAGTGTCCGGACGTCGGCGCTTGTTGTTGTTATTGCTTTGGCTTTGGATTCCGGCCAGGGCAGCCCCGTTTGTAAAGCGGGTTCAGGCGGGCGAGGGGACGTGCCCCGGGACAAAGGCCACGCGGCCGGTGGCGGCGGGCGGGAGGTCGGCAGAGCGGCCCGCACACAGCTCTCCGCGGGCTGTGGAGCGGGGGTGTGAGCAGGGGAGGGGGTGTGACGTTAGTGTGCAGCCCGGCTCCGCGCCTCTGCCGCCAGAGAGGACCTGAGTGCTGACCCTGCGCCCCGGGCTGGAGGGCGGGGTCCGGGGTTAGAGGCCTTGGCTGGTAAGTACACCATCATTGTCAGTGTTTGATGGAGATGGAAACTCGGCTCAGAGAAATCACGCTCGTGCACCCCCCAGGGGGGCCTCCACCAGGTGAGGTGGGCGAGGGTCTCCCCGCTCAGAGCCTCTGTGAGATGGGGAGGGTGTACACGCCAACAGCTGCTGCGCAGGCGGGTGTGGGATGAACAAAGTATTAAATCTGAAGAATTGTAGATGGTAAAGCATTTTGCAGATGTTAGTTCAATCTCTAACACCTCAAAGCATTTTTAAAATATATATGTTTTTATTCATTCGCAGAGGGGGAGAGAGGAACACCAGTGATGACAGAGAATAGTGGATCAGCTGCCTCCTGCTTATCCCATGCTGGAAATGGAGCCCGCAACCCAGGCCTGTGCCCTTGACCAAGCAGTGACCTCCTGGTTCATAGGACGAAGCTCAACCACTGAGCCACTGGGGGCAGGCCACCTCAAAGCATTTTGAAATTTGTTTATAAACTTAATCCAGCGGGAGTGGTCACAGGACACCCCCAGAGCAAATTCTGGATCTTGTCATATCCTCCTATACAATGAAAGGGTATTATGCCAATCAACCAAACGGCAGAACAACCGGTTGTTATGACATGCACTGACCACCAGGGGGCAGATGCTCAATGCAGGAGCTGCCCCCTGGTGGTCAGTGCACTCTTATGGGGATCACTACTCAGCCAGAAGCCCTGAGCTGGGCTCATGGCTGCTGAGCACAGCGGTGATGGCTGAGCCTCTCCCACCTCCGCAGCAGTCAGACATCCTCCAAGGGCTCTCAGACTGCGAGAGGCACAGACCGGGGGCATGAACTCGGTGCACTGGGCCTCTAGTGTGGAAATAAAGGCCCAGCTTCCCTTCCCTGGTGCCCACTGTTGCTCCCATAACCTTACACGCAGTTTGTGGGAGAGCACAGTTTCCTCCCAGCTTTCTCTGCCCACACCACTTCCCACTTCTCCTGTGCTCACATGTTCCCTCCCACCTGGTTCCATGTTGGCCTGTCAGCAATAAGAGACCAGACTGCTTTGTGCAGCAGGTGAGAGCACCCAGGCTGCCTGGATCCGAACCCCAGCTCTGCCGCTTACTGGCAGTGTGACCTGGGACACGTTATTTTATCTCTCTGCACCTCAGCTGTCCTATCTGCAAAATGGGAGTATCTTCTACCTTGTGAGATTTAAACAACAGGAATGCTTAGACTGGTCCCAGCACATATGCAAAGGATTGCAGCCGCAGTATTAGTACTAGAGTCGGTATTAACTCGACCTTGCCGAAACCGGTTTGGCTCAGTGGATAGAGCGTCGGCCTGTGGACTGAAAGCTCCCAGGTTCGATTCCGGTCAAGGGCATGTACCTTGGTTGCAGGCACATCCCCAGCGGGGTGTGCAAGAGGCAGCTGACTGATGATTCTATCTCATCGATGTTTCTAACTCTGTCCCTCTCCCTCTCTGTAAAAAATAAATAAAATATATATAAAAAAATAAAAAATATTAACGTGACCAGCATGGAGCCTGGGGGAGAGGGTGAGGGTGCCCGGAAGATAGGCCTCGTTGGGGTCTTGTTGGTTTTGCTCACAGCTGTATCCCAGCACTGAGAATGGCGCCTGGCCCGTGACAGGTCCTCAGGAAATCCTCATGGTACTAATGAACTTTTAACCGGCTTTTTTTTTTTTCCTCCAACAGGCTCTTGTCTTCAGTAAAAGGAACTTCTCTGTCAGTCGGGCCGGTCAGAGCTGCTTTCTGGGGAACCGGGGAATGTGCCCTCGGGGCCGGACAGCGGAGGAAGATGCTGCAGGCCAGCGGCTACAGCCTCGTGCTCTCCCTGCAGCTCCTGCTGCTGACCTATGACCTCTTCGTCAATTCCTTCTCGGAGCTGCTCCGCTCGCCGCCCGTCATCCAGCTGGTGCTGTTCATGTGAGTTCAGTGGGCGGGACTGACAGCGAACACAGCGGCGCGAGGCCTGGGCAGTCATGACTCAAAGTTATTAATAGAAAACCATGAGGAAGAAAGTATGAGACCACAGCGACGCCACAGGTCCTGCTTTTGCTTCCTCTGGCGAGGGTCCGGGACACAGGAAGCGGTTCCCATAGAAATGAGGGCCTGCCGCTAACCTGTCCCTGCATCTGCGAGCAGAAATACTGTCTTACGTTGCCGTGATGAGGAATGCAGGATGGCAAGGTAAAGGCCAGTTGTCTTAATAAGATGTATGAACCTCATGCGATGGGAGCTGTTGGCGTTTCCCTTCACAGTAACATGGCCGCCACGAGGCGGCTCCGGGAGAAGTGCCGTCGCGCTCCGCACAGTGGCAACGGCGGCACGCCTGCTCCCGCGGAGTTCGTTCCGTGGAGAGGGCACACACGCGTGCTGTAAAGGGCCATTTCACGTAGCAGTAAGGGTCGTGCCGTGGACACGCAGTGGCTGGGAGGAGGGGAGGGCACTTTAGATCACGGCGCTAAAGGAAGTGCATCTTCCTCATGAACTGAGACCCGATGGCCCTGCGGCAGCGGCCGTGCGGAGACCAGGAGGCGCTTTGCTGTCCGGGGACAGGAACATCCGAGGGGCAGGCTGTGCTCGCACGGCGTGCTCTGGGCGGAGGCGGAGCCAGTTCCCACGGCGCCTGGAGGTCCTGCAGGGAGAGGCAGAGCAGGACGCCTCGTCTGGCTGCACAGCTGCTGGGCCAGGGGGGTCTTAGCTCCATCTCATCTGGGGCCCAGAGCGCATGCTCCCTGGGGGTGGGGGGAGCCTCGGAGGCCTGGGTCCCAGAGGGAGAAAGACAGCAGCACTGTCCCTCGGGACTGTCGCCCCTCCCGCTCCTCAGCCGCCCTGCACTGTGCTTTGTTGTGTTTGATGCCTGCAGCATCCAGGACATCGCGATCCTCTTCAACATCATCGTCATCTTCCTCATGTTCTTCAACACGTTCGTCTTCCAGGCCGGCCTGGTCAGCCTGCTGTTCCACAAGTTCAAAGGGACCATCGTGCTGACCGCAGTGTACTTCGCCCTCAGCATCGCCCTGCACGTCTGGCTCATGGTGAGCGGCGCTGGGGGCCTCGGGTCTTTAGCTCCTCGGGCCGGCAGCTGCTCGCTATCGCACAGACCCTGCTCGGGGAGGTGGAGAGAGTGTGAGTCTCCTAGGGCGCTTTAGCCCGACCAGCTTCTGGAACATTCAGTTCACCTTCGCCCCAAACCGGTCTACTGGGGCTAAAGCGGGAAGTTGAATCTCTTTCATCTGTTTGGGCGGGTACTAGTCCAGGGTGTTTCTAGGCCCCGGTGTCTCATGGGAAAGAGCGCTGCCTGCCCTCTGTGCCTCGGCCCCTGCAGCCACCATCACCCCGGAGAGCCACCAGAGGCCCCGGTGCTGAGGTGGCGCAGAGCAGACCCGGTGCTCACGGCCTCAGGTTCCTTCCGCGTCACGGTCTTCCTCCCGCGGTGTCTCAGCGTTTCTCGGGGTGCGTCCTGAGGGGCGTCTGTCACCTCTGTACTGCGGCCACCTTCTCGGCGGGAAGGAGCCGGCTGTGGCCAGGGCGCAGGTGCTTCTGAAGAAGATGGTCCCTGCTCTGGTCCTGGAGCCTGAACAGGCCCGGCCGCGTCCTGTGAAGCCCGCGCTGCCCGCGCCCTCAGCTGGCAGGACTGAACCCGGGCTTCTCAAGAAGGCAGGGACCCCGAGGCGCTGAGCTCGAGTGTCCCTTCTTGGCCAGGGCCACGGGGTGAAGGTAGTAACCAGCTGGGGTCACATCCTCCCTCCGGGTTAATGGTTTGCTTTCCAGCTAAGGCCTGGAGGCACTGTGACAAACAGCGGGGCCGTGGGAAGAAGGAGGGTGAGACTGGCCTGCTTTTGAACCGGGGGCCCTGCAGCACACACACACACACACACACACACCCCCGTGGAGCGTCACCTGCCATTAACCTTCCCATCTCCCTGTCTCCTCCAGAACTTACGCTGGAAAGACTCGAACCGCTTTGTCTGGACAGAAGGACTGCAGGCCCTGTTTGTGTTCCAGAGGCTGGGTAAGGGCGGAGCACCCTCAGGCTCCCGGGTCCCTCTGTGGCTCTGTCAGCCCCACACCACGCACGGGGTGCTGCTGCCGCTGTGGCGGGATCCCTGGGCGGTCGGGAGGCAGGCCCCGGCCTCCGGCCCCCGGCCTCCAGCCTCCGGGGGTTCCTGCTCCGCAGCACCTCCTCAGGAGCGCCGCCCTTCTGCTCCCGCAGCGGCCGTGTTCTACTGTTACTTCTACAAGCGCACAGCCGTGCGGCTGGGCGACCCCCGCTTCTACCAGGACTCGGCGTGGCTGCGCAAGGAGTTCACGCAGGTCCGCAGGTGACCTGTCACTGAGGTGCCTCTCCGGCCTGCGGCCACGTGTGCCGCGTGAGGGGGACGTCGGCCTGGGCCCCGGACGCAGCCGACAGGCTCCCGCCAGTTGTGTCCAGCAGCCGGGAAGCAAGATCCTCCCTCTCAGACTCCAGTTCCCGGTGCAGACTCCAGGACGTGCCTCGTCCCCTGGCCCTCGGCTCCGCCCGCTCCTCCCCCGCTCCCCGGGCTCTCGCTGGATCCGGAGGGGACTCCCAGCATCGGTGCTCTCTGCTCCACACACAGGACCAAGCGATACCCAGAGGGATGCTCTGTGCTGCTGACTGGGCACGCCTCGGGCATGAGATCCGGTGCCCACGGCCCTTTCTGCTCTTACGTTCTATAAATAGGAAATAAATTGGAGTCTTTCCAGAAGTGGCATCCTTCGGGCTAGATCGCTTCCCTGCCTGGTAGGAGGCATGCCAAGTCCCGGCCTCATCCTGTAGGCAGATCGGGCCACAGAGCGTGCACAGATAATACCATTTATCGAGTCCCATTACCCATACAAGGTATTTTTACAGAAATTCAAAATGTAGCCTGATGCCCACCCGGCCCCACCCCTGGAGTTCAGACTTCTGTGCTTTATTCAGACTCTGTCCCCGTTCAGGTCTTCAAACTGCCCTCAGCAGAGAATTGTTCCTTAGCCTGTGTTGGCAAAAGACGTTTTTAAAACTCATGTGCCCGGAGCCCAGTTGCCTGTGCCAGAACGCTGTGCGAGGAGCCGCCAGCTTCAGCGGCACATGACCACCACCTGTCACAGGGCTCTCGAGCCGGGTTCCGGCCACCGGGCTGGGTCAGGAAGATTTCTGTGGGACTTGCTCACGAGTCTGGTCAGCTGTGGGTCAGCCAGGCAGCCTGATGGATGGTCCTGGGACCCGTGGCTCTTGGCTAACCCAGGTTGGCCTCCGCTGGAATGACTGGGCTGTGCAGCTCAGGTTCATATGACCCATCCATGACCCACCAAGGTCTGTTCACGTGACAGTGGCTGAGAAACCGGAGAACAAGCCCCAGGGAAAAACTCCAGATCCAGCCTCTGCTTGTGTTCTGGCTCTTGGACTCCCTTTGGTCAAAGCAGGTCATGTGACTGCCCAGTCAGTGGGAAAGCCAGGCACAAGTTTCTTGGCACAGGCTTGGCTGCCGGGAGGGCCGTGCGCTCAGCCCACCCTCCAGGAAGCCGCTCTGTCAAGGACCAGGCAGGGACAGTTAGATTTTGAGGCCCCTGGCCTGTTGCAGCTTCTTGGCGTTCTGGCATGAGAGCAGCCATCGCTGCTCCGTGAAGGGTGAGCACGGCTGTGCCCCAGTAACGCCGCTTTAGGACACTCAGGTTTGAAGTTCATGTTTTCATGTGGCATAACTTTTTCCCCGCGATGTTAAAGGTCATTCTATTCTTAGATTGGGGATGCAAAGCAAGCCAACCCCAGCTCAGGAACTGGCCACAGTGAGCTGACCCCTGGTGTGGAAGCCTGGAATAAAGGGAGGCAGACTGTCGGTAATAATCTACTGTGGTGTCAAGATGTTAACATTCGAAAAGAAAAGGCACGCCCGGCCAGTGTGGCTCATGGTTGATGCTGTCCCATGCACCTAGAGGTCACCAGCTCGATTCCCGGTCAAGCCACTGGTCCAGTTTCAGGCTCCATCCAGTAGGGGGCGTGCAAGAGGCAGCTAACCCATATTTCTCTCCTTTCCTCTCTAAAATCAAAACACTTCATTATTATTTTTTAAAAATATATTTTATTGATTTTTTACAGAGAGGGAGAGTGATAGAGAGCTAGAAACATCGATGAGAGAGAATCATTGATCAGCTGCCTCCTGCACACCCCCCACCAGGGATGTTCCCACAACCAATGTACATACCCTTGACCAGAATCGAACCAGGGACCTTTCAGTCCGCAGACCGACACTATCCACTGAGCCAAACTGGTTTCAGCTCAAAACACTTTTTTTTTTTTTTTAAGTACGATGCCCAAACACATCATCTAAGATCCATATCCTATAATTGGAAAAAGTGATCTAAAAAGTCCTAACAAAGCCGCAATCTATGCCTACTATCCCTTCAGCAGTTCAAAAAATAATTACTAGCCTGATCTTTTCACAAAGGATCTTGTAGAATCCTTTGCTCACTGATATCCCGAAAGACAGCTTTCTGGGCCTCCAAGTCAGGGCTGGGTCCTCTTCTGTCTCAAAGACCAAATGCCTGCTTCCTCAACCCGCACTCCCTCCCTGGCCTGGAGCCTGAGCTGTGTGTTCGCCTCCATCGCCCAGGCAGCGGCCGCAGCCACCCAGGCCAGCGGAGCCCCCGGCCTCACGCCCGGAGGGGACTGCGGAGCCTCCAGCCGTTACACCCACAGCACAGTCCGCCTGAGCCTGGAGTTCTGAGCTCGTCACTCCCCCAGCTGCAGCTCAGCCCGGGCTCCTGCCCCTCCCCGCCCTGCCAACCTGCGCTGATGTATGTCCTTATAGAACATGTACTATTTTAGAAACTTTCTTACAAAATAAGTTGCCATAATCCTACTCCACTCATTTATTTCAAATCCTCAAATACAGTCGGTCCTCCATTTCATGGTTCCGCACCCACAGTTTCAATCGACTGCAGGTGAAAAATATTCAGGGGGCGGGGACATGATACATTGTTGCTGACAGTTATTAGGGGGTGGGGACATGATGTAGCTGATAGGTATTATGTCCTTAGATCTCTTGTGATTATGTGCATTGAACAGGTACAGACTCTTATTATTCCCTAAACAACACAGGATAACAACGATATTCACATAGCATTTGCATAGATTAGGTATTACAAGTAATCTAGAAATGATATAAAGTACACAGGCATATGTAAATACCATGCCATTTTATAGACGGGACCTGAGCATCCTTGGAACTGGTAATAGCCGTCGGGGAGGGGTCTTGGAACTAATCCTCTATGTTTATGTATTTTACGCACAGTGTGATTATGGGAACACGGCATCACTTAGTTTGGGGTTTGTGTTTTTTTCACTTATCAGTAGCAATAGGTTTTTAAGAGCCACACTGCCCTAGCCAGTTTGTCTCAGTGGATAGAGCCTCAGACTGTGGAATAAAGGGCCCAAGGTTCGATTCTGGTCAAGAGCACATGCAGGGTTGCCGACTCCATCCCCAGTAGGGGGCGTGCAGGAGGCAGCTGATTACCGTAGCAATAGGTTTTTAAGATAGGATGTTTCCTTAGAAACAGCTTCCAAAGCTCAGAGAAAGAAAGTAAACACTTTAGAGGTGCTTAGAGACTTGTAGTAGGACGGAGTTGCTCACAGCTGATCATACGATAATCGGGAAGTAGAAAAAGTAGATGAAATGTAATACCGTCTTTTTAAAAGGCCTCAGGACTGCAGAGGGAACGGGGAAGACAGCGGAGCTTCCTGGTCTCACCCTGCTGGGAGGACAGGGCGGGGACGTGGGGGAAGCACGTAACACGGCTTCTCAGATGTTTACCGAATTCCGGAGCTGTGAGGGACAGAGGCTATAAAAAGCTCAGCCTCAAACCTCTGGAAAGCAGGACAGAATTGCTGACCGGCTTATCGCCGTGGTGATCGGAACCCAGGCGTGGAGGGCGGGGACCAGGAGCACGGGCGTACAGGGAAAGCTCAGGGAGAACGGAAGAAAACATCCAGAGGCACTCTACTTTCCTATACACGAAGTCTGCACATGAGAAAAACCACTAGCAAGACCAGAGAGAGGACTAAATTATTATTTTAATTGATTTCCGAAAAAGGAAGGGTTAGGGAGGGAGAGAAACATCAACGATGGGAATCATCGACTGGCTGCCAACTGCACACCTTCTACTGGGCATTGGACCCAAAACCCAGGCATGAGCCCTGACCAGAAATTGAACCGTGACTTCCTGGGTCATAGATCCACGCTCAATCACTGAGCCACATTGGCCGGGCAGAAAAAGCTGTTTTAAAGATATTCCACAAACAGACCTTGATTAGGAAAAAAAAGGGAAGGCAGCCCTGGCCAGGTAGGTCAGTTGGTTAGAGCTTTGTTCCAATGCGCCAAGGTTATGGGTTTGACCCCTGGTCACATATAGAAATGCATAAATAAGTGAAACAACAAATTGATGTTTCTCCTCTCTTACTCAAACAATATATATTTAGTTGTGTGTGTGTGTGTGTTTTAAAGAGCCACACTGCCCTAGCCAGTTTGTCTCAGTGGATAGAGCCTCAGACTGTGGAATAAAGGGCCCAAGGTTCGATTCTGGTCAAGAGCACATGCAGGGTTGCCGACTCCATCCCCAGTAGGGGGCGTGCAGGAGGCAGCTGATTACCGTATTTTCCGGCGTATAAGACGACCCCTTAATTCTACAGTTAAATTAAAACGTAGGTTTAGGCCTATATTCGCTGTATAAGACTACCCCCCACTTCAAAGAAAAGACTTACTTTGCCGTCAAGATCTGCGGGTAATTTTTGTGCAATTTTGGTCTTTTGTAATGATTCTCGCTCATTATTGATGTTCCCATCCCTCTCCCTTTCTCTCTCAATCAATAAAATATACATAAAAAATAAAATAAAAAACAAACAGGGCCACACCTACACACATTACAGTCAAATTATTGAAAGCTAAAGATGAAGAGCAAATCTTGAAAGTGGCAAGAGAAAAACCACACACCACAAACAGGTGATAAAATTAACAACAAATTAACCTTCAACCGGAAGCCTGTAAACAACCCCCCTGGCACAGGTGAGCCAAGGCCGGTGGGCAGGTGCGCCAACAGCAGAGCTCCGTGTGCAGGAGGACTGGAGGGTGTGATGCCACAGGGCGTGGCGGGTGGTGGGAATCCACCCTCTGGGGAGAAGAGCCGAAGCGGATGAGCTGGAGGAGGGAGCTGGGCACTGCGCTGGGTACACAGAGCCCAGGCGGCTTTGGGAAACAAGGCTGAGGGGCAGGTGCACAAAGGTAAGTCGGTGCAGAGCCTGGCATCCCAGCCAGGAGGACCCGCGGCCTCAACGGTTGGGAGAGTCCGCTCCAGGAGCAGCTGGAGCAGAGCGCCCCCTGGTGGCCGACTGCCCAGGTACTTGCAAGGCCAGGAGATCTTGGGGCAGGAGCCAAGCCCTTCCAGCCCCACGTCTCTCCAGGGCCCTCGAGGGCAGGGGAGAAGTGCCGGGTCCAGGCCACACCGCAGCCCGGGAACTGAGGTCCATGTGCAGCCAAGAGGCAAAACAGAGGTAAGAGCCCGTGGTTTCGCCTCTCAGCGTCCGCGCCGGGCCCCCACACCTCTGAGCTCCCCTCAAAGTGTTAACATTCCTGCTTTCAAGATTCTCACCTCCCCGAATGGGAGACACACAAACTGCTCTCCGGGGGCAGGGAGTGGCTCTGCCCGGCCCTTCAGGGGAAGTAACAAGGACCCTCCCCTCTTCCCCCCAGCCTGCTGGTCCCGGCTCTGTCCCTACAGTTAGTCTCCGACTCACCTGACCCGGTTTGCCCGCGCCATCTGCTTCCTTCCCTGCCCCGACGACCGCGGGCTGACAGCCAAGGCAGCTCCAGGCCCCTCAACACCCCGTTCCTCCTCCCCCCGCCCCCCCCCGGGCAGGGACACACCTGGACAGCTCCCGCCCCGAGGCGTCAAACCCCGGGCGCAGACCGCCTCCGGGAAACCTCGAGGCTCGGTCCTCTCCGTGACCCCAGCCAGCTCCGTGCGGGTCACGTGCTGATCACGGCCACTTCACGTGCTCTGCTTTGTGCTCTTTGAAAGGAGCCTCGGGTTCGGATTCAGTTCGGTGCCTTCTAATTATCTGGTACGTTCCACGCACGACTCCTCCCCTCTTATCCCCCCCCCCCCCCCCCCAAAAAAAAGGCTGCCCGCTGGACAAACGACCCCTAACCCCGGCCCGCTTGCAGAGCACCCGCGCCTGCTCCTCATTTCCAGACGGATGTTAGAAAGGGAATCGTGGGGCCCATCCTGTGGTCACATGACCACAAAGGATCACTTCAAATATCCAATTTTTAAACGTATTTTTATTGATTTCAGAGAGGAAGGGAGAGGGAGAGATAGAAACATCAGTGATGAGAGAGAATCATGGACCCGCTGCCTCCTGCACGCCCCCTACTGGGGCTGGAGCCTGCGGGCCTGTGGCCTCCTGGTTCACAGGCAGACGCTCCACCCCTGAGCCACGCCGGCAGGCAGTGCCTTGTAACTCGGGGTGGGGAGCCCAAGTCTCGGTGAGCCCAAGTCCCCCTGAAGGCCGCCTGCGGCCCGCGCCCAGCCCCGCACTCCAACAGCTTAGAGACCTCCGGGCCGCTCACCATAGAGTGCGCGGGCGGGCAGAGGGGCCGGAAGTTGGGGCCGCTCAGTCCCCATTTCCGGCAGCGCCTCACTGCTCCGGAGTGGCGGCGGCCGCGTACGCAGTTTCCATGGGGACCGAGGATGGCGGCGCGAGGTGAGGTTCCGGAGGTGTGTGAGTGGCTTCCTGCTCCCCTCAGCCTCCCCTTCCTCGTCTCCCAGAGCGCGACCTCAGCCTCCATTCTCGGAGAGGGACTTCTCCCTGTCCACAGCGGGTCCCGCCGCTCCACCCGGCCCGAGTGCGGAAGGCCTGGGGTGAGGGTCTCTCAGAGCCCCGTCCTTGGCTGCGCCTGCTCTGAGCCGGCTCCGTGACGGACATGCCTCTGAGCGACCTCGAAGCGGCCCGTTTCCCCCCAGATGGTGACGGGGGAGATCTCAGGGGACGGGATTGCCACCCCGAAGCCGGGAGTGGGGTCTGGCTGGTTCCGAGGACAGAAGGGGATTGAAGGAAGCCCCCTCCACGTCCTATGCTCACACCCACCCTCATTATCCGCAACCAGAGGCCCCAGCGGCCCCTCCCGCTGGCTGCGATCTCGTGCTTTCTCCAAGTTGGAGACACGGTTCAGAGGGGGCGAGCGCCCTCCCCTCACCCTCTCCTCTGGCCCCTCTTGGCAGGTAAGCGGTTGTCCTCCACGCCCCTGGAAATCCTCTTCTTCCTGAACGGCTGGTATTACGCGACCTACTTCCTGCTGGAACTCTTCATATTTTTGTATAAAGGTAAGGCATGGGCTTGACTGCCCGTGTCCCCAGATACCTTCCCCACTTCAGCCACTTCTTTTCGGCCCCTCTTCCCAGCAAGGTAGGGAATGGCTTCCTTGAGAGCCATCCCTAGGGAGCCCCTCAGCAAGAATTTCTTGTTTTGGGGGCCCTGGCCAGGTAGGTCAGTGGGTTAGCGCATCGTCTCCATACCCCAAGGTTGCCAGTTCCGTCCTGGTCAAGGATACATAAAAGTATCAACCAATGAATGCATAAATAAGTGGAACAACAAACTGATATCTCTCAACCAATCAATAAAATATTTTGAAAATGTGATTTTTTTAATTTGGGGGATGTGGGCTCCTCCATGTGAGCCCACCTTTCTCTGTGAAGTCCACTTTCCGTTCAAGCCCCTGGGTGACTCAGAACGACTCAGCAGCCGGTGTTCCATGTCCATCTGATCGTGTTGGAGAGTGGAGTCCCACAGGCTTTTGGAGTTGGGAGTAAAACTCCGTCATAAGCCCTGGCAGGTGTGGCTCAGTGGATAGAGCTTCGGCCTGCAGACTGTAGGGCCCTGGGCTCAATTCCGGTCAAAGGCACAGGTTCGGGTTGCAGGCTTGATCCCTAGTAAGGGAGTGTGGAGGAGGCAGCCATGATTCTCTCATCATTGATGTTTCTCTCTCTTCCTCTCCCTTCCTCTTTGAAATCAATAAAAACATACTTAACAAAACAACAAAAACTCCACCATGAGAAGCCTGCCCCTAACAGACTCGCACTGTGAGCCGACCCTGCACTAGGTTAACATCTCCCTGCCCAGCTCCTGGGAGCTGTGTGCTGTTGGCAAACGCCGGCCTTTGTGTTGGCAGGTCTCCTGCTGCCGTATCCAAACGCCAATCTGGTGCTGGACGTGGCGATGCTCTTCCTCTACCTCGGGATTGAAGTGATTCGGCTGTTTTTTGGTGAGTGCCGTCCCGAGGACGCTCCTATTCCTTAGCCCAGTGGCCGGCAAACTCAGTCAGCAGAGCCAAATCTCAACAGTGCAACGATTGAAATGTCTTTGGAGAGCCACATTTTTTAAACTTCTTCTAATGCCACTTCTGCAACATAGACTTGCCCAGGCCGTGGTATTTTGTGGAAGAGCCACACTCAAGGGGCCAAAGAGCCGCATGTGGCTCGCAAGCCGCAGTCTGCCAACCATGGCCTTAACAATGAGCTGGTGTCTGTAACTTGACTAAAAGGAAAGCACATAACCTGGGCTCCCAGAAAGAGATTGGATCTGGCGCCATATCGCATTCCTCCCTTTCTGAAGTTTCATACTGCTTTATGTTTTGGGTCAAGACTATCCTGTCTCTTGCTCTGTAGGGCTAGACGTGGGCAGTCGCAGGAGATACTGGAGAATTCCTTCCCAGGTGCCTGACTACCCTCAAAGTGCCTGTTCCCCTCGCCGGTGCCGGGAGAATGGATTGGGCTGTCACGCCGTGTCCAGAACAGAACGTGCCTGTCCAGATTGGCACTAAGTTCCCCTCTGCTTCTCCGAACAAGAATTTCCCTGGGACAAGCTTCATATCCCCACAAATGCAGAGCACGTCTCTTATGAGTTAGAATGTCTCATCTCTGAAAAGTGTTATAATTCAAAACAGAAAAAAACAAAAAACGCCTGCAATACATAGAACAAAGAATAAAGGTGCAGGCTCACATAAATCATGAAGGAAACACAACCTGGGTTTTTACTTATTTTTTATTTTTTATGTGCCTCAGGCATGAAACAGCTCTGGCCACCGACACAGGCATCAAGCTAGGATGAACTAAGGACTGTACATCTGCTTCGCCCCTGATTGATAAAGAGCAACCCCACCACCAGTCAGGTGTCTCCTTGCCCATTGCCAGGGAGCACAACCTGGTTTTTTAAATGGTTTAGAGAGAGGAATGGAGAGAGAGAGTGTTTGGCTGCCTCCAGCATGCGCCCCGACCAGAACCGAACCTGCCAGCTTTCGGTGTGTGGGACGGTGCTGACCAGCTGAGCCGCACCCGCCAGGCCAAGGCAACTGAATTGAGGACACTGAGAAAGGAAACTAATGGGCAGTTCACAGGGAAATGACAGGAGCCAGTAAACACGACAAACGCCTCACTCACTAGTCAGTGTAAGTGGAAACGAGAACATTCTCACCCAGCAGCTGAGAAAGGCTCCCAGCAGCTGGCGTGAGAACAGGCATGCGGACGGGGCCCAGCGCCCCACACACATGAGCACCTCTAGCCTCAGACTCTGGGAACATAAATTAGTATGTCCTTCTCGCTGATAGTTTTACCTTGTCAAATTTGTATTCGTAGACCTAACCGGTGTGGCTCAGTGGCTAGAGCGTTGGCCTGTGGACTCAAGGGTCCCAGGTTCGATTCCAGTCAAGGGCATGTACCTTGGTTGTGGCCACATCCCCAGTAGGAGGTGTGCAGGAGGCAGCTGATCGATGTTTCTCTCTCATCGATGTTTCTAACTCTCTATCCCACTCCCTTTCTCTCTGTAAAAAAATCAGTAAAATATTAAAATATATATATATATTTTAAATATTTTATTTTAAATTATACCCTTAGACCTAATAGTTCCACCTCTAAAACTGGCTGAAAACACCTACTTCCTAGATGTACAGTCTGTCAGAATGTTTGTGGCCACATAGTGTGTGACCTCCAAGCTAGAGACAACCTGAACATCTGTCAACGCAGGATCAGCTCAGTGAGTTACAGAATCAGTCCAAAGAGACCATTCAGAACCATTAAAAAAAGAGTACGGTAGTGTGTGTGGAGAGATGTCTAAGTTGTATTAATGGGGCATAGTAAGCTGCAAAACATATCAGAGAATGACTCGTTTTTATCAGAATAGCCTGAGCATAGGCTCATGGAACAGAAGTCCAGAGCAGTGTAATCTAACAGCTCCTTCCAGGGAGTGAGCATGCTCCTCTGTATTTTCCAAAATTATTTCCTGTATATGTTATCTTTATAATTAAAATAAATTTCCCCCCAATAAAGACCCAGCGCCCCGTGAATGGGAGCCCAACTGAAGCAGGCCCTTTGGGGTGAATGATTCCAATCCCAGACTCCTCCCCGCCCTTGCCTTTACCCAGTTTATAAAGCTGTGTCCCCTCACATCACGCTCTGCCTTGCCAGTCCCCACGCCCACCATCTTTGCTCTGCACGAGGGGCACAGCCGCTTGGAGGTGACCCCTGGCTTGTCTGACAGGCACCAAGGGAAACCTGTGCCAGCGGAAGATGCCCCTGGCCGTCAGTGTGGCCCTGACCTTCCCTTCCGCCGTGATGGCCACGTACTACCTGCTGCTGCAGACCTACGTGCTCCGCCTGGAAGCCATCATGAACAGCATCCTGCTCCTCTTCTGCGGCTCCGAGCTGCTGCTGGAGGCGCTCACGCTGGCCGCCTTCTCCAGGTCTGAGCCGAGGGAGTGCCCTCGAGGGGGAAAGGTCCCCTTTTCCTGCAGCTGGAGGGGTCTTGTAGGCTCTTAAGGGGGTGAAGGGGGTCTGTGGGACCGCCCTTCCCATTTAGGGTAGGCCTTACCCCCTTAGGGAGAGAGACTAGATGATTCCTTGTTCTTCGGGGCCAGGAGGCTTGGAAGCTGGAACAGTTCAGGCCAGCTGCTCCTGTTCACTGGTCCTCTAACATCTGCATGTCTTTCTGTCATCAGTATGGACAGGGTTTGAAGTCCAAAAACTGCAGCCCGCAGCCCTCAGCAGCTGAGATGCTCACGCTCTGTACTGGAGCCACACCAGCGAGATGGCGGCTCACGTGGACCGAGGGAGTTGCAGCTTTTCCTCAGCACAGATGTTTGGGCAACAAACCGAGCATAAGGCCACTGGGCACCATCTAACCAGGACCCTCAGCCTAAGAGACTCTTCCACTCCAGCACAGGGCGGGGCAGGCTGTCCCCTCTGGCTGCGCTCAGAACCGGCTCCTGAGGACTCAAGCTCTCCGCTCTGACCGCCGTGGCCAGAGCATTTGTGTGGACCAAGTAGGCTCCGTGGCGCCCACAGGACCTGAGCCACTCTGCCCCGTGTGCCGTGCCTGCCTGCCCTGCGCCAGCACGGAGCTCCAAGGGACACAGCCTCCATCCTGCGGAGGCTGAGCGCCAGGCCTTTTTGAGTAGCTCATAGTGTTATTTTTCTATCCCCATCATGAAGCAAACATTATTTTATAATAAACATGTATTTTCTGTTGTGCGGCCTTTTCCTTGTGGGACCTAGTTCACACACTCCGGAAGGCAGGCCCTCCCAGCGGCTGCTCAGCCCTAGCCTCGGACCCAGCATGGATCCAAAGGCACTGCCGGTTCTGTCTCCTTCAGGCTGTCATCCTGCAAAGCCAGAGTCCATGGCTCCCCCCCCTCCCCCACCCCCGCCCAGAGCCAGCGCCTGCCTCTCACCCTCGCACAGACTGCAGCTCCTCTGCAGGGGAGGCAGGAGTAATTGCAAGAAGCATAGTCTAACCAGTATTGTTGGGTCACTTATTTTAAAGTTTCAAATTAAAATGAAAGGAACACATACTTTAATCATCATTAAAACTTGGCAGCGCCATATTGTTTTTTAGCCCCAAGAGGCTGCCAGGAGTCATGGCAGAACCCACTGCTTTGGGTCAAGGGCCCCTTTGAGAGAGGAATCCCAGAGTCCTTCCTCCGAGTCCAGTAACGCCTGCATCGCACGGTGGTTCCCTCTGCGCTTCTCCTGTGCAGGTCCCCACCATCCAGCCCACGGAAGCTGCTAGTTTTCTATCCCTTCTGTGCCCTGGCCTCCTCACAGCTCTGGGGTCTGTCCAGAAACCACAGGGGGCAGGTCTGATCAACCCCGGAACAGTATCAAAACATCCAGTAAGGGCATTGCTGGTATTTCAGTGACAAACGCCACTGACATCCAGTTTCTGTTGCTTCTCACACTGCTTCCTCCAGCCCTGCTTTGAAGAAATCGCTGGCTTTAAACTGGAGAGCGGCCTGTTCCCTTAGAGTCAGGGGTCTTCAAACTACGGCCCGAGGAGTCTGATCCGGCCCGCCAGGGTTTTTGGGCAGTGAGCGCAGCCGAGGTGTTACAGTAGGAATTAGTTCATATAGTCCGGCCCTCCAGCTCTCTGAGGGACTGTGATCTGGCCACCACTTTAAAAAGTTTGAGGACCCCTGCTAGAGGCTCCGTGGGTAAGGCCACCCCCAGCAGCACAGACAATGGATGGAAGGCTCCGTGGGGAGTGGAGAGGCAGTTTATAATCCAAAAGGGCTTTAGAGATCAATTTTCAACCTAATCTGCCAGCTGGCAGGCACAGATGAGGAAGCAGCACCGCCGAGCATCGTACAACCGGTTACTGACAGTTAGAAACCCGCCAGGAGTTCCAGGTGAATTAAGTGCCTCATCACTCACAGGTACCACTTGAGGGTGAGCACGACTGGCTGAAATGACAGATCGAAACAAGAAGGCCCCTCCCTCCCTCACCTCGTGGTTGCCTGGACGCTTGGCGCCGTGGCTCCCGAGGATGGTCCATAAATGCTTCTTCCTCATGCTGTTGGAGTCACTGTGTGGACACAGTGCAGAGCTTCAGACAGCAGGCCGGGCACTGAGGACCCGCGCAGCTGGCCTCTCCGGGGGAACTGGTCAGGGCCCTGCTGGGTGCCGTGGCTCCGGCATTCGGAGACAGGCGAGGACAGAGGAGCCGCGGAGGCCAGCTGGGATATTCACACGTGCGTCTGCACTGTCCGGTGATGACTGCGTGGCCGTGGGGGCGGAGGTGCTGCCACATTCAGGAAGCACCGAGGACACGGCTTCAGGTTTCCCGCTCCATGGCAGCCACTGGTGGGAACTGATGTCCGTCCAGAGCCTGGCAGGTTGTTGAGTCCACACAGTGACCCCGAGGCCGAAGGAAATCACATCAGTTGTTACCACGTGTCCCAAGGTAGTGAGGTTAAATAGTAAGAGTTGGGATTTGAACCCAGAGGTATCCAATGGTTAGTCCCCCTTTTTGAATCCTCACCTGAGAATATTTTTCCATTTCTTTTTAGAGAATGGAAGAGAGATAGGAACATCGATGAGAAAAACATATTGATTGGTTGCCTCCTGCACATGCCCAGACCAGAGCCTGGGCTGGAGAGAAGCCTGCAACCAAGGTATATGCCCTTGACCAAAATCGAACCCGGGACCCGCAGGCCAACACTATCCATCAGAGCCAAACCAACTAGGGTTCAGTACTATTAAAAAACAACAACAACAACAACAACAACAAAAAAAAAAAACCTCACCAGAAAATGTTTTATTGATTTGAGAGATGGGGGGGGAGAAACATTGAGGTGATAAACATCAGTTTCCTCGCGTTAGTGTGTCCTGGCTGGGAGGTGGACCACAGCCTTTTTGGCGGACAGGACGAGGCTCTCCCTGACTCAGCCAGCCAGCCAAGGCAAGACCGGGCCCTCTGCCAGCACAGCACTTCCCAGAGGACTGAAGATGCTCCCTTCTCCACCAGCAGGCACCACATGGGCCTAAGGAGTGGGCTTCTAGCCGGTGCGGACTGGCGCAGTGCAGCAGCAGGCATTAGCAAGCACTGCGAGCAGGTACAGGTTGGAACTGAGGCACCCAACTCTTCTTTTGCCAGGTTTCAGGCCCGCTAGCAAAGTTCCCTTCTGCTGCAAGATTACTTGTTCTGCCCAGCTGCAGTGGCTCAGTGGTTGAGTATCAACCAATGAACCAGGCCACGGTGTAATTTCTGGTCAGGGGCACATGCTTGGGTTTCGGCTCGATCCAGTGTGGGGCATACAGAAGGCAGCCGATCGATGATTCTCATCATTGATATTCCTTTCTAATCAATAAATATGTATTTTTAAAAACATCTCTTAAAAAGTTATTTTTACAGATTTTGCCTTTACTGGTCCCAGTGCATATTATCCATCAGCTGGTTTCTGGTTCATCTTGGTCACACAACGCTCCCTGTTCACCTGGCTTTCTCAAAAGCCAGTTTTCTGGAACGTCAAGATCACTCTGCTTCCTCACATGTATTTCCCAGTTCAGCTCTTGCTCCATGTCCACTCACATTTATCTCTGGTTCTGAAAGCATCTCGTGTGGATGGAGGACAGCTCTGGCTTTCATCTCCACGGCCCATGGGCAGACCAGTGGGTGGAAGGAGGCGCTAGCCATCAGACTTCTCACTCCTGGGGCCTCTTCCCTTCCTGACCTTGCCATGAGGACACCAGTTCAGGGAAGACATGTATTCTGGGAGTAAATCTTTGGAGTCTTGGTACAGGACGGCCTTAAGATTTAACCAGACTGCTGAGGTGGCGAAGGAAAACAGCCTGCACAGAGGCTCCTGCCTGCACCACAGGCAGCTACACACCCTGCACGCCAGTCCAGCGACCTGGGCTTCACTACCATCCACAGCCTCTGCATCCACCCACGCCCAGGCCCGACACCTCAACAAATCTATTCAATGCAGAATCCATGAAATAGCTCACACCCCATTTATTATTTAAAAATACTTTGTTACAAAAGGAAAAAAATACAATGCAGTATAAAAGATTGACAGCGTCATCAAGTTTATTACACAATTTTCAACCTATCAGAAAGACAGACAAATCACCGACAACAGGGGGACGGGGCCTTGGCCTTTGAGGACTGGGTGTTTTCCTTTCGCTATCAGGAAACAAAACTAAAAATGGTGTCACCGAATAGAAACAAAACAAAAACGGGGAGAGCTCCCGGGTAGAGGCTGTCCTGCGCTCCGTTCCTTTCCTCCCTGCCACTCACTGTTCTCTGACACCAGGACCGCTCCCGAGGGTACGCCCAGTACCAGCTCTTGCCGGCGGGCAGGGGGCAACATCCTGAGCTGGAGGTGGAGCTGGGACCTGGGACAGGGGAAAAGGGCTACAAACCTGTCGCCTGTCCCAAGGGCATGTGCCTCTCCAGCCCTCGGGGCCGCCCTGGGGGGCCGGGTCAGAAACGTGCAGGGAAGAGAGGGTTCAGTCCAACTCAGTCTCTCCCTGAGCCACAAGGGTCTCCAATGACCCTAACCTCACACGCCACGTCTCACGTCACGTCTCTCTCGTTAGCTGCCACGTGCCCTCTAGGTGCGCATAGTGCCCATCGCCCGTCGCCCCTGGGCACTGCAGACCCTGCTGCTTCCTCCCTCAGCAACAAGAACTTCACAATCAGATGTTACGGGAAAGCAATTCCATGCCCGTGTGGGAAATGGCCCCGAGCGGTGGTCCTTAGAACACGGAGCTCACTCAGGTCAGGCTCCGCTTGTCCCTGCTCCTCCTCAGAGGCAGGAAGTACCTCCAGGCAGAGCCCAGGGAGACAGGAAGTCAATGGTCAAAGGTCAAAGGTGGAGACACCCCACCTGTGACTTTCCCTGGCTGCTAGTGTCAGGTTACCCCACGAGGAGTGGAACTGGTACCTGGGGGATGCGAGCCGATGCTTACATCAAACCCGCGCAAAAAAGGAGGGCCTCCGGGAGCAGGCCATGCCTGCCTGCCATGCGCTGCCCGCGGTGCCGCCTCCATCCTGGCACTGCACCAGGCTCTTCGCTGCTGAGGCCATGTCCCCACCTCCCAACGGCAATACCTCCTCTAAAACAAGGAAGCAGCCCTGGGGGGAGGGCTCCCCTGCGAAAGGTGGAGCCCCGAGAAACAGAACACCTGGCAGAGCTGGTTATTGCGAGGCAACCGCACCTGAAGCAGGGAGGGAGCTGGCTCCGGGCTCCCAGCACACGCACCCCGCGGCCTGCTCTGCAGGGAGGCGTCCGCGGAGGCGGCCGGGCAGCAGGAGCGGGAGGCCAGGGAAACAAACCGTCACTACGTAAGAAGGAAAAGCAAGAGCAAGAGCAGCTTTCCACACATTCTGTTCTCATGGTCCCGCCTCAAAGGGCTGGAAGGAAAGGAGTTGAACGAAGAGGTGTTAGCAAGGGGTCTGGACCCTCGTGGCCCCATCAAACCTAGAGGGCATGAGCCTGGGCATATCCTGGCACCCCAGTCGCTCTCCCAGATCCCACTCGAAGGATTCCTTTGCTTTGAGAAGGAAGTCTTCCCATCAACCTCACTACTGAACCGCTCCAGGAGAATCAGAAACTCACGTTTCCTTGAACAAAGCACCATTCTCTATGGAGACCGGGGCTGGACCTGCTTCTTCCTGTCTGCCTCCCCTCCCAACCGGTCTGTAGGTTGTAGGTTCTTTCCCGGCAAGCGGGGTGTGGGACTGGGAGGGCCGGCAGTCTTCAGTCCTGGAGGGCAGAGGGCAATCCCTGGGTGTCTGGAGGGGGGTGGGGGCATGGAGGGAAGGGAAGGGGTGGAGCGGCCTCCGTCCTTTAGTCCTGATCGAGGTGAGGAGATGCAAGTCCATTAAAAAACATTTGCTTCCGTCCGACTCCTGCAACAAGAACATCCGAAGGAACACACATCAGAGTTACTTTCAGAGCAGCGGGGCTTAAATGACTTACCAGGGCATTTCCTAAAGTTCCAGCATACGCAGCAGGGGGTGCAGACAGAGAAATGCAAGCCTGGGAAAGCGGAAGAAAGAAAGGACTGTCTGGCGTCTGGCACTGTGGACAGTGCGGGCTGGTTGGAGAGAGAAAAAAGCAGTGACCTCTTCCTTTAAGGTGAGTGTGGGGGGGGAAGACAATGAAATGAAGTCTCAAAAAGAGACTGGAAAAGTATGGAAATTACATTTCAAGCAAAGTTGCTATTGTACAAGGGAACATGATGAATTTAAATTGTTTCAGGAAATCACTCTGAGCAAGTCAGAGCTTACCTTAAGGAGAGGGGGAATCTGGAACTGGGAGGTACAGTGTGAGAACACACGTGTGCTTAACCTCCACACACCTGTGAGGCCCTGGCAGAAAGCATGTACTTACACAGTAAACTCAAAGCCAAACTTTTTCTTCTCTTAAAGAAGCCCTGGCTCAAACAGCATTCTGAGTGTGTGCACACGCATACACCCACAGCCAGAGGTGCTGTAAACTGTATTAAAACTCAAGAAATGTCTAAGTCTATTCCCAGATGACAGCTGGGGGGAGGGGCTGAGAGCACAGCACCCAGGGTTAGAGAAACCACCAGCAGTCGCCACCCGGAATCGTGAGTGCACAGAGGAGCTTCTGCCCCACAGAAGAAACTGTTTAGCCATTTGCCACGTCTCCACCTAACTGCCGCTCCCTTATCCCCTCAGCCCTGTTCTCATGGCATAACACTAATTTGCAGGGGAGCACGGTGAACCTCATCATCCTAATAAAAGGCTAATATGCAAACTGACTGAACAGAACAACCGGTCGCTATGACACACAATAACCACCAGGGAGTGCCAAAGCTGGGCTCATGGCTGGTAAGTGCAATGGCGTTGGCAGAGCCTCTGGCTTCTGCAGCAATGCTAAGGATGTCCAACTGCCAGCTTCGGCCCATGGGATGTGGGCCTAAGCCATCAGCTGGACATCCCCCGAGGGCTCCCAGACTATGAGAGGGTACAGACCAGGCTGAGGAATGACCCCCTCCACCAAGCACGTGAATTCTGTGCACTGGGCCTCTAGTATAGAAAATAGAAACAATAGGTAAAAGAAGAAGGGGGGATTAGAGTCAGGCTTAGGATTTTACTAATACACAAATGCTCACCCTTTATGTATACACTTCCGTATGCTGAAGGAGCTACACAGAAAACAGACACCCACAAGCTGAGTAATCCTTCTACTCTGCAGCCGAAGTTTCAGCCTCAGAATCAGGCATGGCCTCTCCCTCTGGCTTCTCTCAACACCCATGCAGGCAGGTTTTGTCCCCTTTCTGTAGGGAAAACTGAAGCCCTCAATACTTTCTCAATGTCACACCATTTGGGCTTCTGAATATTTGCCCTGGATCAAAATTGAACAGAAAGTTCAGTTTTATTGGACCAGGAGGACAGCAATGAAGTGAGAAAGACTATACATCAAATAGAAGGTTCTAAAATAATAAGGCAAGAGCCAAGAACTACCCAGTAATCCCACTCGTAGGAATATATCCCAAGAAAGTAGAAAAACCAATCAGAAAGGATATATGCACCCCTATGTTCATAGCAGCACAATTTACAATAGCTAGGATTTGGAAACAGCCTAGGTGCCTACCAGCAGATGATTGGATCAAAAAACTATGGTACATGTATACAATGGAATACTATGCTGCCATAAAAAAAGAAGGAATTATCATCATTTGCAGCAACCTGGATGGAATTGGAGAACATCATGCTGAGTGAAATAAGCCAGTCAATGAAAGAGAAACACCACATGACCTCACTCATTTATGGCTAATAAAGAACATTATAAACTGATGAACCAATAGATAGATATAGAGACAGTAAAGCAACAAGCAGACTGTCAAATTACAGCAGGGAGGGTAGGGAGATCTGGGGGAGATAAGAGATCAACTGAAGGACTTGTATACATGCATATAAGTACAACCAATGGAGACAAAACTCTGGGGAGGGAGGGCATGTATGGGGAGAGGGGGGACAATGGTATATGTACACAGATTAAAAAAAAAACAAACCACCAAGAACTACAAAATGTACAAACCACGAATTGAAGAATACCCTCAAATTCCAAAGCACACACACACCCTGAAAGAAGCATGCAGAAGGCAGCTGATCAAAGATTCTCTCTCATCACTGATCTCTCTCTCTCCCCCTCTTTCCGCTCTGAAATCAGTAAAAATATATTTTAAAACACTAGCCTGCTACACGTGGTCATGTAATTAACTCCCCCCTGATGCCGTGGCAGGGCCAGACCAAGTGAATGCGCAGGCCTGTGTGGTCTACAGGCTGGATGGTCCCCTCCCTTGCCTTTACACCAAGCATGTCAAACTCGCAGCCGACCTCGAGAATGAAAATAGTGCTGAAGCCCTGGGTCCAACCAAGCCTAACTCCATTTTCAATGACCTGAGTTCATGTGGTTCCCCCACTCCAACTCTCCTGCTTTTGAAAATCAAGATACTTTTTTCAAAGATGCTTTAAAAAAAGAAAAAGTGTCTGCTGTCAATCTGTCTTTCCCTAAACGAATATATCCTTCCACTGAAGCACCCTCCACAGTCTCCAAAGCTATAAACCAGGGGTCCTCAAACTTTTTAAAGTGGGGGCCAGATCACGGTCCCTCAGAGAGCTGGAGGGCCGGACTATATGAACTACTAATTCCTACTGTAACACCTCGGCTGCGCTCACTGCCCAAAAAACCTGGTGGGCCGGATCAGACTCCTCTGCGGGCCGCATGTGGCCCGCGGGCCGTAGTTTGAAGACCCCTGCAAACTTTCTTCCGGGTCAGCATTCTTCTGTTTGAAAAAAGTATCTTGATTTTCAAAATCTTTTTAGACAGTAATTTTTAAAATCACTTATGTTGCACCTTGTAAACAATAAGTATTCTGTACCGGTCAACTTCCCCGGTATGCACAGCAATGCTGGTAAGACGGCTGCCATTCATCGAGAGCTTACTATGTAACAGGTGTGGGGATTACCTCACTGAACACACGGCAGTCTAATGAGACAACTTTCTCACCTTCATTCAGTGAGAAACTGGAAGAGAAAGCCATACGGCTGGAGGAGTGGATTCACACTCTGGCACTGCCCGCAGACACTGTGCTCTGAGCTCTTAGGCTTGCTGTGTCAGATACAGGCAAGGCAGCCAAGAAACAAACAAAAAATACCTTACTCTCAGGCCCATCTCAGGGTGAGACTCCTAACAAGCAGGAAGTCTGCCCTCCTGAATTTGCTCTAAAAAAATAGCCCTGGTGGGTAGGAGAGCATCATCCCCACAGGCCACATTGTGGGTCAGGGCCCTGGTCAGGGCACATATAAGAATCAATCAGTGAGCCGAGACCGGTGTGGCTCAGTGGATAGAGCGTCGGCCTGCGGACTGAAAGGTCCCAGGTTCAATTCCGGTCAAGGGCATGTACCTTGGTTGCGGGCACATCCCCAGTAGAGGGTGTGCAAGAGGCAGCTGATTGATGATTCTCTCTCATCGATGTTTCTAGCTCTCTATCCCTCTCTCTTCCTCTCTGTGAAAAAATCAATAAAACATATTAAAAAAAAAAAAAAAGAATCAGAGAATGCATAAGTGGAACAACAAACCATGTTTTTCTCTCCTCCTTCCTCTCTCTCCAATCAGTAAATATAAAAATAAAACATACAGAGAGAAAAACCTTCAGTGAGTAATCTTCTCTCATAAAAGACTGCCCACCAGCTGGCACGGGGCTTCATCCCACCTTTCTCAGTGGTGCCGGTCCCGTTCTCTGTCCCGGTGTCTCTCGTGCTCTCGGTTCCTTTCTTGGAAGTAATCGTCATGCCGATCTTCATTGTGAAGCAGGTCCCGGTGCCTCCTGCTGCTCTCCCGGGACCGGCTAGGTGACCTCTCCCGGGACCGATGTCTTTTCCTGTGAGAAAGATCCTTGAGCCTCGCACAGAGGGCCTAGCGCGTTCCTCCCCCAGTGCTGCCTCTGGCGTCTTCCAGCATTTATTTACCCTGTCTCCCACGGCCCTCATGGGCCCACTGTCTGACGGTGGCGGTCCTGTGAGGACGAGTCTTTTTTTTATTTTAAATAACAGTTAAATTTGTTGAGATCTTACTAATGTATCGGGCACAGTGCTAAAAGCTGTACATGCACTGTCTCACCTGATCTTTACAAGTCTATAAGATTTGTACTATTGCTCCCCACCTTTCTTTTATGAGAAAAAGGAAACTTGGAAAGTTGAGTAATTCCATTGTCAAGGTCACACAGGTAGGTAGGGGCAGTCCTGGGGTTCAAATCCAAGCATGGGTGGCTCCGAAGCCCGTGTTCTTGGCTATCCCGGTCTATCTTTTCCCCAGAATAACCCACTCCTCACCTAACCTGCTGACACTGACTACTGTAAATGTCAGGTGATTTCTTCCCCGGGAGACAGGGGGGCGTGGTCTGCTGTCAGCCAGGTCCTTGCCAGGTCCCCTGGGCTCCCTCCCGCCCTGCCCACCCCTGGAAGAGAGCCGAGCCGGGCTGGCCGGCCGCGGAGGCAGCCACCAGCTCACCTGGACGAGCTCCCGCTGGCACCCACGCTGTAGGACTTGGCTTCAATGCCGTGGAGACAGTCCTTGAGAGAGGAGATGAGCACACGGCAGCGCTCATCGTTGGCGACCCGGGACTGTTTGATGACCGCGATGGCTGTGAGCAGCGTCTCAATTGCGTCACTGTAATCCCCTGACGGGTGGACGGAAAAGCCAGAGTGAGCAGAGGCAGTTAGCTGCTGGACCAAATGGAGAACTCGGGACGACACAAACCAAGAGTCACGAGCGGTCCCACAGAACCCCAGTGAGAGCGGCAGACGCAGCAGGTATAAAACCAGAAGGTACCTACGTCCCAATGGGCTGCAATCACAGTTGTCCTCAGACACTGTTAGTGGACGTACAAACTGGCGCATCACTGTCTGAGGCTGCTTGACAACATCCATTGAAATAAACAAGGTACATACCTTTGACCTAGGAATTCTAAACATTTTCTACTTCGATTCCCCCTGTGTACTAGTGTAAGTTTAATCATTTTGTTTCGGTGTTGTTTGCTGTGTTAAAGAATTAGAAACTTGAAGTTCCTTCAACGGGGTCTAGCCACTTAATTACACATCACTGGTTTCACAGACTATCACGTGGTTGTTAAAAAGCATGAAGTCATCTTGTATGTAAACAAAGGAAGCAATACAAAGCACTTAGCACAGTGCAGGCACACAGTAACATGATGTAACATGTGCAGAATATATTATTTCATTTTTGTAAAAACAATAAAATTACATATATGTTGCTATATGCACAAAAAAAATCTGGAGGATAGATAAAAAACTGTAAGAGGTAGACTTGTAGGGGGGCCTGTGCAGATGACTTTATTAACACTGCATATTTTTTTTACTAAATTGTCTTAAATTTATAATCAGATGTGTGTAGATATACATATATCTAATAAATATCCAAAACATGCATATAGCACATACACATGCATAAACACACATATGCATATTTAACATTTTTCTTTATTTAAATTATGCTACCATTAAGAATTAGTCCCTTCATTCTCCAAATCTGAGCAATACCTGGCAGGGACAGTGGTCACAGGGTGGGTACTTGCAGAAAGCCTCCCCCCAACCCCCAAATGAGACTTTATTTTAGTTATATATTTTTAAGTAATTTTTAATTGATGTCAGAGAGGAAGGGAGAGGGAGAGAGAGATAGAAACATCAATGATGAGAGAGAATCACTGATTGGCTGCCTCCTACACATCCCCTACTGGGGATCAAGCCTGCAACCTGGGCATGTGTCCTTGACCGGAATCGAACCTGGGACCTTTCAGTCTGCAGGCCGACGCTCTATCAACTGAGTCAAACCAGCTATGGCCACAAAGCTTTTTTGAGCTGCGTTAGGAGTAGTAAGGACAGAAGATAATGCCAGGAAAGCAGGAGACCAGACAAGGGCCGGGATACTGAGGTCTGGCAGCTCCTCCGTACAGGCATGAAGAATAAAATAAAAGCTGGAGGAGTCCAGCACATCAGGTCAGCTCCACCAGGGAAGGGCTCTTCTGCCCATTTTACAGGCTCCCAGTAAATGTATGTGGTTTGAATGACTGGAATGAGAACAATAGAAATAGAGGGAGACAGAGCTTCGGTTTTTGACCATCTTGCTATGAAGGAACTGGTGGAGAACAATGATTTTCATCATAGTCCTCTGTATATCTGACTTGTCCCACTGAGCAGATTACTTCTAATTTAAAAAGGTTTATTCAGATGCCAATGAAGATTATCTGGAGGGAAAAATAAAAATATGTACACTTCCTGTCTTTAACCTACTCCGTGGATTTAAATTTTGCAGCCCAAGCTGAGAAGTTATGGGAAATAGATAAAACTTAGGGTTAACTTGGAGACTGGACAGTCTACATTTACATTCACGTGGCAAACTCATAGGAAGTTAAGTGAATATGGCTGATGTCATAAAGTGAAACTTGGACCAGAACCTTGAAACTTCCTGTATACATATCTTACTCCGCCCCCCCCACCCCCCGCCAATGTTCTTTTAGAAACCAAAGATTCTCAAGAGTCACCACAGCTTCTGGTTATGCCCTCAATACTACATGGTTCCTGGGTTGGCGCTCACCCACTCAGCCATCCGGCTGGGCTAGCGGAGCACTCTGGAGAACCTAACAGCGCTCCACCTGGATCTGGCGGAATTTCTTGCCGATGGAATAACAAGGCCTGGCAATGTGTGAAACCGAGGGCAGGGAGAAGGCCATAGAGGGAAGCGTTCCTACCTGCACTGGCTCCAGCGACGGCCTTGGAAATGGCGCTGCTGGAAATTGCTCTGTTCCGCTTCATGATCTCTTCAAACTCTGCCTCACTCACTGCAGAGGGCGGAGGGCCCGAATCCCGGCTGCACAGAAGTGATACCAGTGTGACTGCCAAACCCACTCACCTTCACCACCCTAGGAATGATGTGACTCCTATACTGTCTCCCCTGTGTGACTTCTTATACGGCCTCTGCCTGGTCACGTGCTTTGTGTGTTCATGTTCTCCTCAATGACATATACGTGGGTGATTTTGGCATGACCCAACAACAGTGCTAGACATTCATAGCCTCCCTAACAGCGACCTACACCCTCTTTTTAATCAAGCCCCTTAAAAAGGGGTACAAAGGACGTGGTTTGGTTCAAGAGGTTAAACAAAACACCAAATAAAAACATTAGCTAACAGGTATTTCCCAGGACTCAACTCTATGACTACGGTTTCGCACAAGGGAAACATGGAATTCAGTGCTCACTTCCTTCCTTGGAGAGAAGAAAACGCTTCCCTTCCACCCCATCACGCCTGGCTCAGCTGTGAGAGGAACAGGTAGTTCTTACCTGCTGTGGTGGTTATAGGGGGCTGAGGCCTTCATGTACGGGTCTGGTGGAGGCCCCACTGCGGCGTTTGGTGGGGGGAAGAAGGCTGGATTGAGGTGAAGGGCAGGTGGGATGGCTCCAGGGGGAGGTACAGCCAGATGAGGAGGTAATCGAGGAGGAGGGGGCATGAGATGCTGGTAGTGGATGCCAGGAGGAGGAGGGGGGACCCCAAAGCTTGAGGAGAGAGGTGGTGGGGGTGGAATTGGAGGTGGGGGCAGACCCATCAGGGGGAGGGCTGACGGAGGGCGGTTGAAGTAGGGCAGCACACTTGGGGGCTTATCCACGCGGGCAGAAGAGGGGACAAGGTTCTCAGAGGGCGTGGCCCGTCCATCGGCAGAGTCACTCGAATCTCGAGAGTGAGCCCGTGGAGGTATTCCTGTGAAACAAAACGACGACTGTTACTGCCCAGACTGTAGACGCACTCACAGGACCAGCTCGTCCTCCAGCAGGCCACTGGCTACCTCCTGAGGAAGGACAGGTGGCTGAAAAGCAGAATCATCTACTGCCTTTTCTTTGGCATCAGAGAAAAAGCTGAGGCGACTTAGTTAAGACATAAACCCAGAAGGCAATACCACCTTAAATTCTTATGTCAAAAATATTCTTTATCTAACGTGTTTCCCGGAAAATAAAACATCCTCCGAAAATAAGACCTACTTACAGGTTTCCTTCTGAGTGAAATATAAGGCATCCTCCTGAAAATAAGGCCTCCCCTAGGCTCTGTCTCAGAATGAAAATTAATTTACCGTAAACTGGTCGCTAGGGCCGCCCCAGCTGGCGTCTAGCAATCAGTGACGTTACACGGAGTCCTGACGTCACTGCTGTGTGGAGGCGGAGCAGAGGTCAGAGTGAGCAGTGAGCGCAGGGCGGGAGAGAAGAGACTTTTCGAAGACGCGTGTAGAAGAACAGGAGGATTAGAGTGGACAGGACACGGCGAAGGTGGTGAGTGCTGGTCTCTGGTGACACTACCTGATGCTCGCGGCAGTCCTCATGACTAAAGGTTCTCAGTCAGTGGCAGACCCTGCTCCAGCCCAGATCCAGGCCCCAGCAAGCCCAGTGACAGTCCCCAAGCAGGCCCCAGGGGGTAAATGTCTGATAAAGGGGTAGGGGGGATGTCTGGTGAAGGTGTTCAGTGGCACAGGGGTGGGGGGAGAGGGATCACTTAAAATGACACAGGAGGAAAAGAGGGGGCAATCAAAATGACACAGGAGGATCAAAAGAGGTTACTAAAATGGTAATCCCCCTTCTGATTCTCCTGTGCCATTTTGATTCCCCCCTCTGATCCCCCCTGTGTCATTTAAGTGACCCCCCTCCCTCACCTTGATACGCCAATTCCTTTTTTTTTTTTACCCCTAGAAATGAGTGCAAAAAGAAAAAGCTACTCCATGGAGTACCAGAAAGGAATCGTGGAAGACTCTTGGGGCCAAAATTTTACTGCTTTCTGCAAAGAGAAGATGTTGAGTGTCCGATTGGTCCGAAAATGGCGAGCAGAGAATGGTAACCTCATTGAACAAGTGGACAAGGGAAATGCTAAAAAGCGCAAGTGTGGATCAGGTAGGCAACCATTATTTTCTGAGCTGGAAGACCTGATCTGTGAATGGGTTGTTGACAGGAGAGCAAAGGCTTTGGTTGTGAATAGGGCTCAGATTCAAGAATTTGCCCTTGCAATGGCACCAGTTTGACATAGCCCCCAAAGACTTCGAAGCATCACAACACTGGCTGGATAATTTCCTTCAGCGAAGTGAACTGTCTTTAAGAAGATCTACCGGTACAACATTGTTTAGGTTGGAAGATACTCAAGTTATTAAGCAAGCACTTGCATTCAAGTCCTTCATTGATGATGCTGACTTCTCTAAATACAATCTTTCCAACATGATTGCTATGGATGAAACTGCAGTGTTTGTGGGCCAATCATCTCAAACAACAATTGAACAGCGGGGTGCCTCCTTAGTGTACATTCCCTCCACTGCTTACGAAAGTGCACGTGTTTCCTGTATTTTGGCAATTTGTAAGGATGGCACTAAAATCCCACCTTTAATCATTTCTAAGAGCAAGAAGGAAAAGATTGAACGTGTTTTGGGAGTTTTTATTCTTGAAACTGAAAAAGCTTGGGCCACACAAGCAGTTATAAGGAAGTGGGTTGATTTAATGCTGCCGCTTGTTACGCGAGAGAGCCAAAGAGGTCTGCTAGTCTGGGATGCAGCCAGCACTCACAGCGCTAAAGACATTAAGACATTTCTTCATGAAAGAAAAATAGATCAGATAATGATTCCCGCAGGAATGATGGCCTATCTCCACACTCTTGATATTGCAATAAACAAGCCATTCAAAGACAATTTGCGCATGGAAATTAATGACTGCATTGAAAATAGAATGGAGAGAAATCAGTGTGGAAACTTTGTGAAACCTAAACTGCAAAAAGCTGTGACTTGGGTGAAGAATTCATGGGAGAAAATCACTGACAGTTGTATTGCAAATGCACTGCGAGCAGGCTACCTCGACAAGAAGTACTCATTTAAAGACAGTGCTATTGCTAAACATGAGATTTGGTCCACTGATTCTGAAAGAATGGATTCACAAGAAATTCACCAGGAAATTCAGGAATTGGATTATGATGATGTTCCAGAAGATGATGACAAGATTGTCATTGAATAAATGAGTAAATTCTTTTTTCCTCCCTACTTTTTAAAAAAAATATATATATATATTATTGATTTTTTTACAGAGAGGAAGGGAGAGAGATAGACAGCTAGAAACGTCGATGAGAGAGAAACATCGACCAGCTGCCTCCTGCACACACCCTACTGGGGATGTGCCCGCAACCAATGTACATGCCTTTGACCGGAATCAAACCTGGGACCCTTCAGTCGGCAGATGCTCTACCACTGAGCCAAACTGGCTTCGCCAAGTAAATTCTTGATACTGTAGGATTCACAGTTTGTCTGGTTTGTGTTGACAACTACCATACTACCGTTCTGTATACAGGTAATAAATTTCCTTTTATTTTCATTTAACAATAAATGTGTATTCTTCTTCATGGAAAAATAAGACATCCCCTGAAAATAAGACCTAGCACATCTTTGGGAGCAAAAATTAATATAAGACACTGTCTTATTTTCGGAGAAACAGGTTAGAACCATCCATGCTTCACATTTATCCTTAGATCTGTTTTGTATTTTTAAGTGCAGAAGGATCCTAATCTCCGTGAGAAATGACAGTGTATGTTCATCCCTGTTCAGCTGGAGTCAATCGGATTTGGAATTCCATGTCCCCTGGTAAGAATGCAGGACCTTAGCCTGGCGCTAGTCGACCTTCTCTACCTGCTCCTGCTGCACACTTGGGATTTCCTCCTCGCCCAGGCACTTGACCTAGAGAGTTTGGGGAAAGAGAAGGAAGGGTTCGGGATGGGCGACACTTCTTTCACATACCAAAGTGGTAACTGGGATGAAAGAGACCCACAACCAAGAGAAGACCGGAGACTGGGAGGTAGAGACAATGGGAGGTAAGCCAGGAAGAGTCTGCCCACAGAAGAGCTGATGCCCACAGCTGAGAACAGACTCCTAGCAAACGCCTGGGGTAAAACATGCCACAAATGTGGGAACTCCCAGGGCTACATTTCAATGACCCCTTGTTCTCCCCACAGGGCAGCATGCAGTCAGAGCACGCTGTGTGGTGTGAGGCCCTGGCACTGTCAAGCCCCTGCTTACACCTGTTCCCTCCCGCTCGCAGCCACGTTAGGCCTGGCCAGCGTGGACTCCAACAGAAGAACGCGATTGCTTGGCCGTGGAGTCTCCGAGGCAGAAAGACGCCGTCAGCAGACAGTGTGGAAAGAAGAGCGCTCCTTAGACTCGAACCTGTCAGTACACCCACTCCGGTTCCAGCAGAAGGGGGGTCACCGCCCTGCAACCACTGCCGTTTCCCCACTGCAGTTTATCACAATGCCCGTCAGAGCACCTTTCTGTCTCAAACACACGGCACCTTGCGTATTCCCCACGCTCTCCCACACCGAAGGGAGAACAAGTGTCAAGTGTGAGCTCTGACAGCCACCTTCCCACCTACTGTCCCCTCATCCACAAGGCTGTTTTATATCTTTGGCTACAAATCCCAACATTCTTTAGCAAAGCAAGTCCACCAACTGTACTCAGCGAGTGAACAGAGGCCAAGTCCACAACATAGAAAAACAGCGCTCAGCCACCACCAACATTTCAGCAAAGGCAGGCAGCACCAAGGAACAAACAGCCATGTGAAGTTAGGAGTGTCCCCTGACGCAGCTGGAAAATGATGCACCTTAGGAAGTCTGAAGAAGGCTGTTTTACAGGGAGACTAAAACTGAAGGGATTGGAAAGTACAAGCAGTCAAGGAGGAAGTGTGTGCCTTCTGAACCAGAGCAATGGACGCTCAGACCACAGCCATCTAAGCTCTCCATCTAGTAAAAGAACAGCTGTTCCCACACAAGAGAGCAGGGGCTAGGGCTCCACCTCCCATCAATCAATACACGGTTCCCATGGGCCCCCCAATCAATGTGAGCCACTCCAAGGCTCCCCCCGCAGGAAAGGCAGAGTGAAGGCAGCTGGCTGTTTCAGACAGGGCCTGACAGGTGGCCGCACTGCGTGAGGTCAGGCCAATCCAACGTCTGGTTCTCAGGTTTCCCAGGTTCAGAAATTCAACTTGAACCGTTCACCAAGGGTGATCAAACCCTAGGAGACGGATTCATACTAACCAAACTCACCAGAGACCGATTCATAAACCAGAGTGCCATTTTATTAATTTACAACAAGAAACAGAGCTGCCAAGCAGAGAGAACACTTGCAGCAGCTGGTCAGGGCATTCCCTTCCCAGTGAGAGCCTCGCTGGGAAACCAAATCAGGATCAGAAGGTGCGCGGTGGGCAGAGCCGGAATAAAAGGAGTAAGAGGCACTAAGAGATGCTAGCGTGGAGCTAAGGTAATATGATGCAACTTTCTTTTCTAAGAAATACTTGCCAAGCAGACTAAAAATATCCAGCAACTGCAAGGGTGTCCCTAGAAAATGCTGGAGAAACATTGTTAAATGCACCTTCTCCAGCACATCTTTAGATCACTTCCTTACAGAGCACCTTCCAGTCTTGGTTTATGACAAGCTAGAGGCCTGGTGTGCGGATTCGTGCACTGGTGGGATCCCTCAGCCTGGCCTGCAAGGATCAGGCAGAAAACGGCTCCCTGACATCCCCAAAGAGGTCCCGGATGTGAGAGGGTGGTTCTTGGGTGATGCACCCCAGAATCAGGCTCCCTCCTCTCTTCTCCCAATATTTTGTCACTTTCTCTCTATATCTGTCTCACTTCTTTCACCTCACTTTACCCTAAGTTTGGCAGGAACTGAAGCCTTGTGGGCATTTAGCTACAAAAGCAATTGTGTTTTTTATTTTGTTTTGTTTTGTTTGTTTGTTGTAAATGCAATTGTTTACTAGCAAACAGGATTTGCTTAGCCTGGAATCTAATAGGCCCAGGGCAGGCCCTGCTCAATGTCAGGCTCCCGCCCTGGCCCTTCTGCCCAAGCAGAATCCTGTGGCAGCAGGAACCTCCTTCTTTGTACCTGAGCTGCTGCGCCTTTGTGCCTTACCTCCCTGGAGGTTGCCCACTGGCGCTACTGTCTGCCCAAAAGGAGGGAAGCCACGGCCAGTTTCTTAGTGAGAGTGGTCTCGGGAAAATTCGCTGCCTCCACTGGAAATTGGTATTAAGCGGATGAGTCAGTGTGGGCACCAAACATTGGGACCATAGCCAGTAGGTCCTGCACGTCTTATCGTTTAGCTAACTGAGTCGAAAAGTTTCTGTAAGGGCCAGACCCACGACCTCTGCAAAGGGCTAGAGGCCTGGTGGGGAGCCAGACCCAAAGTGGGGAGCCAATGGGCCAGAGACCCGGTGCATGGATTCATGCACCAGTGGGGTCCTGCAGCCTGGCCTGCAGGGATGGGGCTGAAACGGACTCTCCGATATCCCCTGAGGGGTCCTGGATTGCAAGAGGGCGGTTCTTGGGTGATGCACCCCAGAATCGGGCTCCCTCTTCTCTGTTCCAGGTGCATCATCCAAGAACCGCAGCTGTCAAGTCAGCGCAGCTCAGCAGCTTCCTGTGTTGAGCATCTGCCCAGTTTGTGTCATAGATACTGGTCAGACGGTCGGCTGGTTGCTTAGGCATATATATACCTTGTTTATATTTTAGGGTGGCTCCTTCTTAAAAAATTTATAAATTAAGCCCATTCATTCACTATATACTGAGGATTTTTTTCAGGCAGAAACACACAATTTAGAGTTGACAGGAACTTTAAACATCATGTATCTAGTTCAGATGGGGAAATAAGCCCACAGTCACATGACTTAGTGGCAGAACCAAAGTAAAACCTAAACCTGACTCTCACACAGACCTCATTTGGGGCCAACCTGACATGCTGCCACCCACAACCACCCCTTCCCTCCCCCAAATTCCTCCACACTGTAGGCTGAGCCTACACCACAGAAGACAAATCCACAGCATTCCCCACTTCGTACAGATGGTCGCCACGTACCCCCTCTTGGGACTCGGACGCACTCACGTTTCCGAGCCTGAGCCTCAAACTGTGACAGGTTCTGTCTGGTGGCTGGCCTCACGTCTACTTTCTCTCCGTTAAGAACCTTTCCTGGCAGGAGTTCCAACAATTTGTGGACAGAGTTTTCAGAGGCTACCACCACCTCAGCGTACCTGAGGAAGAAACATTAAAAATGAGTGAGATCTATAGACAACAGAAGAACAAAGACATTTTCTTTCACTTTTAGTGAAAACTGGCCAAGCAAACAATATCGTGCTATTATTGAACACACACACACACACACACACACACACACACTCTACCAACAACAAAAAGGTGTCAGTCTATAATCTTCCTACTTATTTGAAATTAGAAGTCAGCTTTCTTTGCCCCTCAAGGGATAGATGTTCTACGACATTGCAGCCAGGTCCCCATTCTAAGGCAATTTGCCAAAATCAAGGCAGTGAACTGGGCCTGGGGTTGGAGGGGTTAAAATCCAGGGCCAAGCCGAAACCAGTTTGGCTCAGTGGATAGAGCGTAGGCCTGCAGACTCAAGGGTCCCGGGTTCGATTCCGGTCAAGGGCATGTACCTTGGTTGTGGGCACATCCCCATTAGGGGGTGTGCTGGAGGCAGCTGATCGATGTTTCTCTCTCATCAATGTTTCTGGCTCTCTGTTCCTCTCCCTTTCTCTGTAGAAAATCAATAAAATATATTAAAAAAAAAAAAAAATCTAGGGCCAAGAGAGTGCAGACCTGTTATCCCAACGGTTACAAACTAGAGGGGCTTCTCAAACGCAGACCTCACCCTTTGGACTGGCCATTGGCTCGATTCTCCGCAAATTTCAGCTCCACCACGTCATAGACTCCGATGGAGCGAATAACCTGGATTAGCTGCTGGTCTGTGGTCCACTGGGCCGGCAAAATGGAAAAGGAAGAAATGTCAGGAGCTACACTGCCCCCACCCCCAACCCAGAATGTCCCAACCCTTTCCCCAAGCCTAGGATTCTAGTCACAGCCATGACCTCCCTCAGGAAACCCCAAAGCCCATCAGCACTTCAATTGGTGCAGGCTTTTCTTACTGTCCCCCGACCCCCTCCACAGTCCCCACCTTTAGAGAGTAAGAGCCAAACCTAGTTTAACTTTGACTGCCATTTGGGCTGTCTGGTCATCAGCTCAAACGCTGAGACTCGCAGCTTTTAATCACAGGTCTGATCCGCAGAGCTGACCATGGTCAGGAGCTTTCCCCCAGCTCATACGTTTTCTAATCTGAAGAACAATCCCCCCACCAGCCCAAAAACATGTCACACAGTAACTTACAGAGTAACAATCACCACCTACCCCAGGTGTACTAGAGCTATCAAGGTCTTTGATCCCTGTCACCCATCATTATCACAGGACCATCTAATGACCACCAAGAGTACAAGGTATTCACTCTGAAATCTCATCCCACAGATGACCCTGCTAGACATAAAGCCCCAGGGTCAGGGGTGGTAACAAGATGACAGAAAAAGCAACTACCCACTTAATCATTGCGTTCTTCGGCATCAGAACGTCCTCAGGATAGTTCTCTTTCAGAGATCAATCCAACCTGATCCCAGGAAAAAGAAATCCAACCCCATCAGAGCACAAAGCAGTGCGACATTGGGTTTTGAAAATGCCATCACCTCCCCGGGCTCTCCCTCAGCCCCCACAGCCTGTGAGGTTGCCCACGCTCACCCAGGAGAAGCTGCCCACGTACACAGCCGCCCGCCTGTTTCGCAGGCCGCTGTAGGTGTACAGAATTGCAGGGGTCTTGTTATTGGGCTTGGGAGACGGCTCCTGGCGAACAGGAGGAGGTGGCTCAGTGCTGCTGCTTCTGTCATCTGAGGGCTGGGAGGTGGCGGTCAACACGTCATCATACAGATCAATCTGGTCTGTATTGTTGAACTCTGGGTCCTAAGAGATGAAGGGTCGGCAAAGGTGGGTTTGCAAACCTTTCATTTTGTCCGTTCTAGTTCACTCTCGTTCACTTAGAGCCACAAATACTTTATAAAATGTACAAAACTTTCCTTGTCCTACTCTAGGAAACTTCCTCATTTACAACTATTTCACTTAATTATGCTCACGTAGGTTTTTCTTCTAAGACCCTGTGAGTTGTCTGCAATATTTCTAGCTCCAGGCACTTGTGAGAATTAAAAGGTAAATTATAATTAAATAAGAATGCAAGGACACACTGATATCAATGAGGTTAGCTTCTAAACGTTGCGTCTAAGACACACTAATGAAAATTTCAGTATCTTATGCATTTTCAAAATCAAGAGTTACACAAACGTTCTATTCAATAGGAAATAGAGAATATTGTTTAGAAATAGAAAGCGGGGGGAAAGGCATGTTAAAATGGGAACCAAAACATAAAAAATAATGGGAATAACTGGTTAAAATTATTTGATTTACACAAATGATTTAGGGAAGCTCTAAAACTCAGAGTACACAATCCCATCTTTCCAATAACCGTAAAAAACAAACAAACAAACAAACAAAAAAAACCCACATTAAAAAATAAAGTAAAAAGTTAATAACCTTGGGAGAATTTTCCCTCACTAAGTTCTATTTCTCAAGTGGCATGCAGATCCAATATATTACCATAACGCCTACAGAAGAGATATCTTTGAACAATACCAGAGATGTTTAATGATACAATAACAAGTTCTCTAAAATATAAGACTCGGAAAAGAGATGTAGCCATACCATGAGCTATGTCACAGTGAGCATTACACTATAAATGTCTATTCTGGATGACAGTGGTCGCCAACTGGTGGTGTAAGGTCCACCAGGCTGGCGAGCGCTGCTGTAGATGCTTATTGCCTATGTGACACGTTACTGTATAGACTGAATGTCCGTGTGCCCGCCCCCATATGTATGCTGAAGCCCTGCTCCCCAGTGGGATGGTGTCAGGAGGGGGCCTTTGGGAGGTAATGAGGATGAGGGTGAAGCGCTCATGGATGAGATTAGGGCCCTTGTAAGAGTCAAGTGAGACACTCTCTCCTCTGCTCTGCACAGGGTGAGAACGTAAGAAACCGCAGTCCACAACCCCGAGGAGGGGCCTCACCGGAACCCAAACCTGGTTTTGGCCCTCTAGCCTCCAGAACAGTGAGAAATAAGTTTCTGTGTTCACAGCACCCCGTTTTTATTATTTTGTTATGGAAGTCCAAGCTGACTAACACCATACACCAAAAACCCTAAAACCACAAGAACTACTATCGAAGTATCTTAATTTCAGATTTTGCAATTATCTCAGATCTTTTTTTAAAGGATCAGAGAAGTATTTTCCAGTTAACACTCTAACATGCAAACAATGCTGAAGATGAAGCTGCCAAAATGAGGGACAGAAGTTCACAGTGTTTTACGGAAGCCACAGCTCATTCATCCACTGCTGCCTTTTAAAAAGGGAATAAAGGAAAAACCTGCGTTAGGTCTAGTTCCCTGACGTCATTTCCTGCCTAAACAACTCAGGACAGGAAGCTCCAATGGCTGTCTCCCTTCACTATCAACCCAAATACTGCTGATTCTCAAAGGAGACTGGAGAGGTTTAGACTCACCACAGAAATCATTGTTTAAAAAGTACCGTATTTTTCGGACCATAAGACGCACTTTTTCCCCCCCAGAAGTGGGGGGAAAAAGTCCCTGCGTCTTATGGTCCAAATATAGCCTACACATATACTTTAAAAAAAAAGTTTTTTTACTTGCCCGGCTCTGTGTGGTCTCTGTGTGCTTGCCCGGCTCTAAAATGGTTCTAAATGCTGCTGTTTACTTTACAGGGTTGATTACATGTGTTTATGACTGTGATGTTGGGTTTTAATGCACATAAAATATTTTAGGACACTATTTGTTTCAGAATCTTTTTTTCTTCATTTCCCTTCTCTAAAAACTGGTGCGTCTTATGGTCCGGAGCGTCTTATGGTCCGAAAAATACGGTATGTTTTCATTGATTTAGATCGAGAGGAAGAAAGCGGTAAAGATGAAAGAAATGTCAGTGAGAAATCATCCACTGGCTGCCTCCTGCATGCTTGCCACTAGGGATGGAGCCCACAACCCAGGCACTGACCAGGAGCCCAACCTGTGACCACTTGACACGCAGCCTGAGTCACACTGGCCGTGCACAGATCATCAGGCCTACACACCATCCCACACTTTTGGAAACCGTCTTTTATTTTCTCAGCTTATCTGAAGCACAATGAAAATACGCACACTAACGTAACAGTGTTTTGCTAATGAAGGGGACAGGCTGCTACCTCCTGAGGCTTGTAAATAATGTCAAAGATCACAGATACTCTAAGTCAGCGGTCACCAAACTTTTGGACCTCATGAACCACCAGTTGGTGACCGCTGGTCTAAGAAACCCCACAGGGGAGGAGTCTAAACCTTGTAAAAATGTCAGAAAGCGAATGGCAAGAGAAACCTTTTAGGGGCAGCTTACAAGAGAAGGAATCAGACAAGCACTAGAAGACTATTCTAGCAAACCAGTAAATAAGGATCTTGCATAAAATGGGTGTGTGGAAAACAGAGAGAAGCTAACACTGGAGTGCAGGGTGGGTAATAGACTGAGTAAGGTAGACAAAGCGAGGGCTAAGTTGACAAATATTCTGTGTAAATATTTTATAGACCTTATGTTTCGAACTATCCCAATTCTATGTAAATCACTTATTTGTTTATGTACCAGCTATGGCAATTTTCCCTTGTGGTTAAAGACAGAGAAAGCACTTGATCCTCTCCAATGACCTAATCCTTGGAGAACACTACTTCATACTAGGCTTTCTTTTTTTAATCAAGAATTTTGAAATGGAACTTAAAAACACGCCATCTTGGATAGTCAGTGGAATCGAGTTGGAATTCCTTCCATGTAAGGAAGGAATGTGTCTGAAAGCTGTAAGACAAAAATTACCACTGGTAATTGGGTAACAAACCAACATTCAGACTTGGGTAGCTCAAAAAGCAAACGTATGGCCAGGGTGTCCCCCTATTATAAGCCTCAGCAAATCAGCTGCTCGCTCAGGGTCCCTCGGAGAACCCGGCTGTCCCCGGAGGCCCTGCTGCATGGGTTACCTCAACTCTGCACGAAAAAAGGCTCCAGCCAGTGCACAGCTGTCACGGGACGCACATGGGTTCTCTGGGCCAGAGCCTGGGCTCGGGGTGACCGAGCTGTTCCCCTGCACAGGAAGGCCTGCTGAGGGTTGTGTTGAGGTAAAATTTTACTGAAGAAACAAGGTACCAATTTGTATTTGGATTTAAAACTGCTAGTGACACCAATTCATTTTACTTCTGGTTGGTAAAACAAAGAACAGATAATGACCTGAAGTTTTTTCTGGTTACAAATAAGTGAATGATTTATGCAGTGATGCATTAGGTTAAGGCAAAACCTAAATCTACAAATTAACAATAACATTTTTTACTTAGAGAGAGAGAGAGAGAGAGAGAGAGAGAGAGAGAGAGAGAGAGAGAGAAACAAGCCAGCCTGGCCAGTATGCCTCAGTGATTGACCTATGAACCAGGAGGTTGCAGTTTGATTCCCGGTCAGGGCACATGCCCAGGTTGTGGGCTCAATTTCCAGTGTGGGGTGTGCAGGAGGGAGCTGATCAATGATTCTCATCAATGATGTTTCTTTCTCTCCCTTCCTCTATGAAATCAATTAAAATATATTTAAAAAAAAACACCAAAAAAATTTTACTTAAAAAGGCAGCGTTTAATACTGAATGACTATCTCACAAAGAACTTGGTGTTTAACAGCACAGAGCTGTCACTGTCTCGTGACGCTTCATGGTTAACAAGAGAACTAGCAGAATTTTAAATTTACATAATTCCTCATCAGCATGCTCACCTCCAGCCCCCTTCCCTTGATGTCTGAGAGGACTTATTTTTCTCAAAGCGATCTACTTGATAGCACTGCTTCTCTTAACTGTAAACAAAGCTAACACAGTCCTCATCTAACAGCCTCCGTCCTGTCACTCTCCATACCCTCAGCCACCAGAAACACCTCTTGAGCACAGGATGCTTCCTCCCCTTTACCTCACTGGTCCCAACACAGGCCTGGCCAATAGAAGGCGCTCAGTAAACACCTGCTGCTGGGAGTAAAGAGGAGAACCGGCCGACTGCGCAGAGCGCCTGCCTGTCTGGCCCAAGGAGCGGAGACAAGCACTCAGGAAAGGCAGCAGCTGAGCGCCTCCCCTGCCCAGGGAGGAGCTGGCTCCAGCCCCCTGGGACACAGGAGAGCCTGTAAGAGGCTTTCGCAGCACATGGGAGAGATCAGGGAGCCAGCGCCATGGGGTTCCATCTAGGAGAGGCATTCCTTTTCCCTGGGGAACAAAGTCCGTGTGATGGAGTTTGTGCCTGGGTCACTTTGGGGTTAATCAAGAACATTCTTAAAACACCCTGAAGCACTATCTGTCCTGACTGCTTCACCCTGAGCCTGCTTCTAACAATTCCAGCCGGACAGAGCTCTCATTATTTCTTCAGCAGCCTCCCAATAACACTAAAACCATTTCTGCCAAAAATTAACTCCCTGATGGGGGTAAAAAGCACCCCTCCCCCAACCTTCCACAAGACATTAAAAATCTCCACTTTCTTCAACTTGCCGAGAATCAAATATTGTCTGTTTGGTATAAATGTCTACTAGATCCCACACACCACCTTTGGCTTACCTTAGACTCATACAAAATTCCTTTTAGCAAGAAGTCAGAGGACACAAATCGTAGAGGCCAAGGACTTCTCCTCTGACAAAGCAGTGACCTCTGGACAAGGCCGGAGTCTTGTCTCTGACCTACAACTTACACTGTTCAGGAAATAATGAACTTTCGCTTTCTTAGGCCAGCTGTGGCTAGACCTCCGGTCAGGGACCCCTGCCTCCCCTTTCCCAAAGCAGCGGCGTTCCCACCCACAGGAGGGAACCAACTCCGCAGGGAGTCCTTTTCCTATCATTTTGTGCTTAAAAACAAACCGTAACCTGTTAAAAGGTAGTAAAAGTCTGCCTCAAAGTAGCACGGAAAACTCAGGAAAGCAATGGTTTGTAACCTACTTATTACATTAAACCTTTCTTTTTATCTATAGTATTTGACTTGTTTGAAATTAACAAAAATTTATTCATGTATTTAAGTCAATCAATACCCACATGTAGACTCATCCAGTTTACCTGAGGAGACACCAGAAAATGACTATTAAAAAAAAGTGTAACTGGTGCCCGGCTGGCTCAGTGGTTGAGCATCAATCTATGAACCAGGAGGACATGGTGTGATTCCGTTATGGCACATTCCCCGGTTATAGGCTTGATCTCCAATGGGGGTGTGCAGGAGGCAGCCAATGATTCTCTCTCTTCATTGATGTTTCTTTCTCCCTCTAAAATAAAATTATATTAAAAAAAAAAAAAGTGTAACTGGTGCCTGGCTTGTGTGGCTCAGTTGGTTGAGCATCACCCCATGTACCAAAGGTCAGTGGTTCAATTCCCGGTGAGGGCACATCTGCGCGTGTTGCAGGAGGCAGCTGATCAATGTTTCTCTCTCTCCCCCTCTCCCTTCCTTTTTCTCTAAAAATCAATAAAAACATTAAAAAAAAAAAAAAAGTATAACTGAAGCTGTATAATGGATACAAGGTCATTACATTCTTATTTTGTGTTTTAAGATCTCTATGTGAAAAAGGCATAATACTTTAAAAAGTTTTTTTACATTTAAATTTATGCCAAGTGGAAAAAACAAACAAAAAACCAGCATGTATTTCAGCCTCTTCTTTTGCCTCATATCCAAGCCAGAGTCCACACGGCAGACTTTCCTCCTCCAGTTTGTTCTTTTACCTCTCCCAAGCCCTCGCGTGCTGCCCATAAGCGATGCCAATGGGAAGAACCAGCTTACCCAAGCAGAAGGTGCTGGAAACAACCCGGGCAAGATACGAAGTTTTAAACAGAGACTCTGCAACATTCTTGAGCTGTGACCTCGAGAGCTCGGAATCAAATTTTAAATGACTGTTTCCAGGAACGTCACTGTATAATGTTCTCTGAGGTAACATAAAAGCACCAACGAATCCAACTTAGGTATGTAAGTGGTCTATACCTGCTTTTCAACTGTTTGTCCCAAGCCTTCGCCTCTCCCCTAACCTCCCAAACAAAAATTACATTCATCAGTAAAACGGACTCCACCAAAATGCCCTCTTCAGCCTGGAGTCCAGCTAGTTAGAGGAGATTAAGGCAATCAGAAGGGAGCCGAGATTAAATGTCAAAGTATCTTTGTATTGTGCCTTTGCACTGCCTTATGGGAGAGAGGGGGGACTAACAGCTATTTCCCCGCTGCAGTCCGGGACAATCACAAAGGAACAGATGTCAGCGTTGTCCCAGGAACGCTGAGGAAACCGAATTCTGGTCTGTGAGCGCGGTTAGCCTCGGAGGAGATGGGCATCCAACTCTGGCTCCTGGGGCAGCACATTCCACAGGTTGATGCACCAAACCATTAAACCTGACTTTTATGTGCTCTTAAATCAAAGCCTTGCTAATGAAGCCTGGGATTAAATTAACACACAGAGCGGTCAGAGGACTTGGAAGTGTGTGCTAGAGGGACCCGGCAGAGGCGTGTTCAGGCAGCAAACCCCCCACGGGCGGGCGGAACTTGGAGCCCCTGCAAGTATGCTGGAGGTGGCTCCCGGCTGACCCGGGAGTCCCCACGCTCTCGGCGACCCCTCACCTGATTGAACTCCTCGTCGGCGTATATATCAATCAAGTCCACTCCTTCTGACATGGCTCCGGAAGGCAGATCGCGAGCCCGGAAAGCGGACCAAGTAAGAAAGATGCCACTGCGATATCCAGAGAGAGGCGAGAGTTAGACGGCATGCGGGTCCCGGGCTGGGCGGAGGGCAATGGTTGCCAACCTCCCGGTCTCCAGAGACGCAGCCTCCGGCCCCGAGCTCGGCCCCACCCGCCGCGCCCCGCCCCGCCCCCGGCCTCGCGCCGCCCCTCGCTCTCCCGGGCCGCCAGGCTCGCGGGGCTCGCTGCCCATCACCCTCGGGCCCGACCCGAGCGGCGCCGCAGCTGGCCATGGCGCCGCGGGCACGTCCGGGCCTCCGCTCCGAGGGGCCGCGGGCGGCGCTGCCAAGAACGCCCGAGGCAAAGCCCGCGGCCCCCGCCCGCCGCACCTGCCTAGGCCCCGGGCGGCCCGAGTCCGAGGCCCCGCGGGTCTCTGAGCTCCCGCCACCCCCGCTCCGCACCCAGGCCCAGTCCTTGCCCCCAGCGAGGCCCGCCCCGCTCCGTCCCGCAGCCCCGGCCCAGCGCCCGCAGCCCCCTCCCACAAAGGCCCGCGCCTCCCCCCTCCCTCCGCCGCCTCCCACGGCCCCCGACTCAACCGACCCCCTCCCCGCCTCGGCGCCGGCCCCGAGCCCTCTTCCGGCCCCGCCGGCCCCCGGCCGCGCGCCCCCGTTACCGGGAATATGGCGGCGGAGGCGGCGAGTCCGGACTAGGCCCGAAGCGCGCGAACCGCTCACGGCCCCCCAGAGCCCGCCTCCCCCCTCCCCTCCGCCAGGGGCGTCAGACGCACGGCCACTTCCGTCACACGCAGAGAAGTGTCTTCCGGCTCCGGCGCGTCTTCCGCGAGGCCGGCCTCGGGAGTTCCCGGAAGTGGCCGGGTCGCCGGCTTCCGGTCCAGGTCGGGGAAAATGGCCCTGGCCGTCGTGCTGCCGGCTCTGGCGCGGGTGAGGAGCGTGCGGGTGCTGGGGCCCCAGGCGGCCGCCCTGGACCCCGAGTCTCGTCTTCCGCCGCCGTCTTGCGGGGCCGTCCGGCTGCTGGCGGTCCGGGGCGGGACAGACCCGGGCAGAGGTCCTTCTTGCAAACTTGGGAGCTCAGGCCGCTCCCCCCTCTCCCGGGCCCGCCGCGTGCTGTCCCGCGGGGCAGTTAGAATAGATCAGCTTTCTGCCGGACCCGTGCGAGTTCTCCTCTCCCCCGGGGACTCTGTTCTGAGTCCTACCTGACACCTCCATGACCTCACGTCGCATCATACGGCCTTTCTTCCTGTCTAATGTTTCCTGTTTAATCTTTCTTTCCTGTTTAATGTTTCCCGCCGTATTCCTCCCTCTGAGTGCTCCTTTGCTGCGCCTACTAACAGTTTGTATGTGTGTCTTTGGTCTCCAGACATTTCCTCACCTCCCTTCCGATTCCTTCTTGGACTCACTTGAACATGGGCTAAGTGTGTTGATTCCGCATACTTACCAATGTTGCAGCCTTCCTTCGGCTCTTCCCAGCTTCCTGCCATGGTTATCAGAAGAGGTCTCGTATAATTTCACCCTCCTGAGACGTGTGTTGTAATTTCGAGGTGGTCTCACCTGAAGAAAGTTCCCTGTATGCCTGAGAGGAACATGTTCTTGCTGCTGGTGGGTGGGAGGTTCTGGATATGTCTGTCTGTCTGGTCAGTTGGGTCTGTAGTGTTCAAGTTCTGTTTCCGTATTGATCTTCCGCCTGGATGCTCTGTGGGGTATGGAACTCTCCTGTCATTGTGTTGCTGCTTCTCTATCTGGTCAACATTTGCCTCATATATGTGGGTGCTCTGATGTTGACGGCGTGTGTATGTATCACGGTTGTATCTCCCTGATGAATTGCCCTTTTTATCATTATGCAATGCCCTTCTTTACCTCTTGACAGGTGTGGTTTTTTCCCCTGACCGTTTTTTTACTTAAAGTCTGTTTCATCTGATATGAGTAGGGTCATTCTGCTCACTTTTGCATGAAATACCTTTTTTTCCATCCTTTCACTTCAGCCCATGTGTATCCTTACATCTAAAATGAGTCTCATGTAACAGTATTTAGTTGGATCTTATTATTTTTAAAATCTTCACCCAAGGACATGCTTATCGACTTTAGAGAGAGGAGAAGGAGGGAGAGAGAGAGATACGTCGATGGGTGAGAGAAACATTGATCAGTTGCCTTCTACCAGCCCTGACCAGGGATTGACCCTGCGACCTTTCTGTGTGTGGGACGATGCTCCAAAGAACTGAACCACACTGGCCGGGGCCGTTGGGTCTTACTGTTTTATCCATGCATTTTGGTTCGGGAGTTGGATACATTTCCATTTAAAAAGCCAGAAGTTGGGGCTTTCTCCTGCTGTGCAGAGCTGGGGGCGGGGCCCTGGTGGGTGAGTGCGGACCAGTCCAAACACCTTGCCTGTGTTCTCACAGCACCCATCTCCTGCCAGCACTTAGACTCAGAGAGGACAAACACTAGCCCATCCGGCAGTCCCCCCAGAAGTGGGCACGCTGGGCATATGTCTCAGGCTCCCCTCTCTCTCCGGAGGGAGGCACCAGGAGCTGAGGGTTTTCTTCAGTTGCACCAGCTGAGCCAGGGGGAGGGACCGAGATGAAGGATTGTCTTGGCTTTCCCTTCCAGCTTTGATGCCGCTGCTGCGTGCTTGCCTGGGGTTAGGAGCCTCTTCACTGGTTTCGGGATTTCTCGTAAAGGGGACCGGAGGTGATGGTTTCTGGGAGGAGAGCGGGGGTGAGGGTGGGGGGAGAATGCCTGTCCTGCCATCTTGCTGACATGAGTACCTTCTCGTGGCATCATGAGAGGCTTTGCCTGTCTCTCAGTTGGGAGCCCTTGGAGGGTTAGGGTCCGTGCCGCCAGATTTTAACACAGTCAGGAGACAAAAACACACACTGCACCGGAAGGGAATTCCTCGGAGGGAGGGAGGGAGGGAGGGAGGACGGGAGGACGTACGTCTGCTGGAGAACTTTCGGAAGGGACTGGTTAAGGACGTTTGCCGTCAGAGCTGGGTTTCAGGTCTCACTGCAGTTACTGTCGGAGTGGTGTCTTCGCCTCCCTGAGCCCCGCCTCTAAGCTGTAAAGTGGGGCCAGTTGTGGCGAAGCTTCTCGAGGACCCGGTGAAACCAAATGCTTCGAAGGCACCTAGCGCGAGCGGGGGTGGCAGTGATGCCACCTGATGTTGAAAAGATGTCCGTGGTCTGTCTGTTTCAGAGGCTCGCGCTGTCCAGGCAACACCTCAGGTCTCCTTTGCCCAGCGTGACGGCCTTCAGCCGTTCCTACCGAGGGGACAGCCCGTCAGATTCCCAGAAAGACATGATCGAGATCCCGCTGCCCCCGTGGCAGGAGCGAACCGACGAGCCCATCGCCACCAAAAGGGCCCGCCTGCTGTATGAGAGCCGGAAGCGGGGCATGCTGGAGAACTGCATCCTGCTCAGGTGGGCCGGGCTCGGGGCCGCGCCCCGTGGCCCGAGCCGCCCGGCCTTTTAACTGTTCCTCTCTCTCTGCCCCTCACTCTCGTTTTAGCCTCTTTGCTAAAGAGTATCTGCATCAAATGACGGAGAAACAGCTGAACCTGTACGATCGCCTGATTAACGAGCCCAGTAACGACTGGGATATTTACCACTGGGCCACAGGTACTAGGGGATGGGGGGAGGGCAAGTGGAATGTGAAAAGGAGGGTCACTTGGGCTGACTTGAGTCTGGGATTATCTCTGGGCAGTGCCCCCCCCCCTTTATTCATGCAAATAGACCCTCCCTCCAGGCACTGTTCATGTCCCCAGGTGTGCGGCATCTGTTTGATTAGTTAGGGCTCTTGTGTGCCAACAGCAGACACCTGTTCTGGGGAACTTGGGTAAAAGGGAGTTTGGTGGGATCGCGCCGGTCTCCGAGGCAGGCTGAGGAAAAATGAGGCAGGGCCTGGCGTGGAGCCAGAAGTGGACGTCTCGCCCGTTCTCGCACCTCTGGGTCTCCTGTGTCTGCGTCCCCACTCAGGGTGGGCCACCACGTAGGGGCCGTGCTGCAGGTTCGGCTCTCCTCCGTGCTGACAGAGTCCTCGGTGCTTGTTCTGACGGTCGGTGAGCGAGGACTGTGGAATCTCCATCTGTAATTGCGGATTTATTACTCCTTTCTGCCTTCTCAGTTTTACTTCATACATTTGGAAGCTCTGTTATTGTGTGCAGACATATTAGGATTGTTATGTCTTCTTGATGGATTGACGCCTTTCTCATCACACCAGAGGCCCGATCCACGAAATTCGTGCAAGAGCCGGCTTTCTGGCTGCGGGCACCGGCTTCCCTCGCAGCCCCGGCTTCGTCAGGATGGTTGTCTGGAAAGACGTCTGATCTAATTAGCATATTATGCTTTTATTATGATAGATTATTATAGATAATGCCTGTCTTGATTGCTGATGGTGTTCCTTGTTCCGAAGTACCTGATCATAATTTAGTCACTCCAGCGTTCTTTTGATGAGTGTTTGCATGGTATGTGTCTTTCCGTCTATATTAATTTTCTGTTGCTATGGAGTAAATTAATACAAACTTAGTGACTTTATCTTTTTTTAATTTATCTTTATTCTTCAAAGTATCAGAGATGTCCCCGCCCCACCCCACTCCCCACCCCCCGTAAGTCCCTTCTACACCGCAAACTTAGTGCCTTGTTAGCTCCGGAGCTGTGCCCAGATCTCACCGTCTGGAAACTCATTCAGGCGGTAGGACTGAAGTCCCAGCGGTCTGTTAGCTGCTGGTCTCCTTTAGCTCCTGGAAGCCACTCTCAGATCTGGGCCCTGTGGCCCCTCCACTCAGCAGCGGAGCTCCCTCCCATGGAATCCCTCTCGTGCTTCCAAGCTACCCGAGTGCCCTGCTGTCGCCTCCTGGAGAAAACCCTGCTTTTAATAGCGCTCATGTGACCAGGTCAAAACCGCTTGGATCATTTCCCTGTCCGGAGGCCAACTGTGCCGCGGTGACCAGCCGGGATTGCTCAAGGCTTGTGCGCCATTCTTCTGCTCTAAACGGAGCCTCCTGCAGACAACATACCTAGTCTTTATTTCTTTGTCCAATGTTAACATCTCTATCTGTATGTTGCTATGTTTGGTCATTTACATATAACTAATTATCAATGTGATTGCATTAAAATTTACCATCATTTTATTTTCTACTTCTTCCATCTGTTCTTTGTTCCTTTCCCCCTCTGTTTCCATGGGGTTTTTTCAACGAGTATTTTAAATGTTACTCCGCTTTCGGTTTATTATTTATACCTCCCTTTATAATTTTTTAGCAATTGCCCTGGGGCTTGCAGTCTACATCTTTAATTAATCACAGTCTACCTTCAAGTAATATTATAGTACTTCATGCATAATGTAAGACCTTTACAGTAGCACACTCCAGCTCCTCCTCCCATCTTATGTGCTATTGTTGTCATACTTTCTATTTTTACTTGCGCTATAAGCCTATACTACATTTCTGTTGTTTTACTTCAGAGCAATTTAAAATAAGGAAAAGGATGGGATATATGTAAAAATTATAACATATAGTATCTTATATGTAAATATATGGATAATATATAACGGACTTGAAGCTGGCGGTACAAGGTAACCAATATATAAATTACATTATCCTATATAATAAAAGGTTAATATGCAAATTGACCGAACGGTGGAATGACCGGTTGCTATGACGTGCACTGTCCGCCAGGGTCAGATGCTGAGTGCAGGAGCTGCCCCCTGGTGGTCAGTGTGCTCCCATAGGTGGAGCACTGCTCAGCCTGAAGCAAGGCTCGCCAGCGGGCTCACAGCTAGTGAGCGCAGTAACTAGCAGTGGTGGCAGAACTAAGGACCCTGGGGGATGTCCGCCTGCCCCCTTAGGCCTGCTCCCCTAAGCTGACAGTTGGACATCCCCTGAGGTGTCCTGGACTGCAAGAGGGCGCAGGCCAGGCTGAGGGACCCCACCCAGTACACAAATGTTGTGCACTGGGCCTCTGGTGTTTTATATTTCCCTTATTTTAATCGCCTCCAAGTTCTTCATTTCTTTATGTAGATCGATGTTTCTATCTGGTATTCTATTCCTGAAGAACTTCCTTTAATATTTCTTGTAGTGTAGGTCTGCTGTTATGCATTTTCTCAGCTTTTAGCAGTTTTGAAAGATATTTTCACTGGCTATAGAATTATAAGTTCACAACTTTTCAGCACATTATAGGGGCACACTTTTTTGTGAGGCTGAAGGATGAGCTGTTCGGTTGAGCTTGATCTGGTTATTGTTGCTTTGGTTACCTTGTACCGCCAGCTTCAAGTCCGTTAGTGTCACCATGTGCCTAGTCTTGGCGTGGGCTGTGCTGTGTCTTATCTGGTCTGCCTAGTCTTGGCATGGGCTGTGCTGTGTCTTTGTTGCTTTGTGTATAGTGTATCTGTTCTTCCTGAACGTTTCCAGCGTTTTATCTCTGGCTTCCAGCAGTTGGTGTGTGACAGGCTGGATGCTTGTGTTGGGTGTTTACCTGCTTTGGGTTCTCTGGGCTTGTTGGGTCCAGTTACACTTCGGTTAGACTGTCCATCTGATGTCATAGTCTGGGATTCTGTTCTCTGTCTCTTACTCTTTTCCTCAATGCGTTCATTTGGGTGATGTCTGTTGACCTGTCCTCAGTTCACTGATTCGTCCTCGACTCTGTCACATCTCAGGATGGACCTGTTGAGGTCATTCTGCTTATTTGCTTATTTTTACTTATTTATTAAATGTTGTTTTTATTGATTTCAGAGAGAGAGGAAGGTGGAGGGGAGAAACATGGCTTGCCTCTCACACACACCCCAGCACCCTGACCGGGGACCGGAGCCACAACCCGCCCGGGTGCCTTGACCAGTGACCTCCTCGGTGCCTGGGACGACCCTCCAACTGAGCCATCCGGCCAGGGTTTGTTAACCTTTCAATTTCACTTTTATAGTTCCCATCTCGGAGCTCCTCGCCGGTTCATAGATTTTTGTCTCCTTTTTCCACTGGGGCCTTTAACATATTAGCCACAGTGGCTTTAAATTCCCCACCAGTTTGTGGGCCATCCCTTCGTCTGTTTCTGTGGATTGCTTTGTCCCTTCCCCGTGTGTGTGTGTGTGTGTGTGTGTGTGTGTGTGTGTGTGTGGTAATTGTGTGTTGAATGTTAGGCATCGTAAGGAAGACCGAGGCGGGCTGTGTTCATGAATAGAAGCGGCTTGCTTGTGTCTGGCTGTTAGCAGACAGTAAAGGCTTCAGTCTCGTAGCACAAGAGCAGCCACAACGGCACATGAACCAGCAGGAGCTGCTGTCCCAAACCTGTTGCAGGCCCAGCACCGTGTGCATCAGCACTGAGAGGGAGAAAGGAACGGCTACGCCAAGGCTGGAGTCAAGGCTCAAAACCCTTTTGCCTAACTACTGACTGACACAGTTTGTTCTGGCTGCTCTTCTCTTGCAGAAGCCAAACCAGCCCCGGAGATATTCGAAAACGAAATCCTGGCGTTGCTCAGAGACTTTGCTAAAAACAAAAACAAGGAGCAGCGGCTGCGCGCCCCGGACCTCGAGTACCTCTTCGAAAAGCCCCAGTGAGCGTGCCCCTGCCCCTGCCCCTGCCCCTGCCCCTGCCCCTGCGCGGAGCTCCGCCGGCTCCCTGCTGCGAGGATGCTGGCTTCCCTGCCCCTCCTCCTGGCCCTCAGCTGCCCCTCCTCCTGGCCCTCAGCTCTCGCACCCTCCTGCCCGGGTAGGGGCCCCTCCTCCCCCACCCTCTCCCAGGACGTTAAATGTTCAGCATCTCCTAGTCTAGTGCTGCTTGCTCAGTCCTGGGCCTCGAGCGGGGGTTAGAGTGTGATGTGCATGAACTGTCTTTCAAATCGCCATTCGCCTCCCACCAGCCACGCTGAACCACCTTCCCCTGGTTTTGGGGGAATCTGGTATTTAAAAAGCACGGATTGTGTGTTTTTACACAGATGTGTATCCATTTTACCTGTAGCAAACAGTGATTAAAGAAAACAACATTAATAGTTTTGTGATTACTCCTTCTTCTTAAACATTACTCATGCCCGATGACTGGTTTGAAGGTTAGCTAATTAATTAAATATTTTTTTTAAAGAAAAAAAAAAGGGATAGCGTGTTGGGCTGCAGGCTGTAGGGTCCCAAGTTCAGTTCCGGTTAAGGGTGCATGCCCAGGTGGCAGGCTCAATCCCCTGTAGGGGGCGTGCAGGAGGCAGCTGATTGATGTTTCGATCTCCCTTTGCCTTCCTCTCTGAAATCAAAAATAGTTTTTTAAAAAGTGGGTTGTCATTGTTGCTGGCAGGAAGGCCTGTGGGCTCTGGCTGGCCTCTGCCACAGGAGGGCGCTGTGGGGAAGCAAATGTGCCCGCTCAGGGCTTCAGCTGGAGGTGCTGGCAGCCCCAGCACTGCAGAACAGCCCCAGCTGCAGCAGGGCCCGTGATCCTCCCCTTCCAGCCCAGCGGGGCTTCCTGCCCAGGGAAGCGGACCCAGGACCCCGGCCTGAGTCTGGAAGGCACAGCGGGAGGAGTGGGTGTGCGTGCTGCGTCACAGCCAACTTCCTCCTCCTCAGGTCTTTCTCTGAAATGTCACTTTGTGAACAACGATAATCAGATATTGGAAAATGTCTTAAGATGGAAAACCACAATTCCCAGTCTGTGCACCATTACTTCATATAATCCGTAGACATGTGCATAGAGTTTACAAGGTCACAGTCAGCTTTCATTTCCGGGTCACATAGCCAGTTTTTCTCTATTTCTAGTCTTCACATTATTGTAGATGACAGAATGACGATAGTGTTTTAAGAATGAATGACGTATTTGGAAGTGCTGGGCTCCAGCCAGAAGACTGGTGTTGCTAGGGGCGGCCTCTAGGGGACTCGTGCCCTTGGAGCTGTGATCCTATCAGGACACGATCCTATCAGGATGGCGATGGCTGATAAGCAGATGCCTGGTGATTACGAGCTGTGAGTGGGGAGGAAGAACATGCTGTGGGTGGGGAGGAGGTAAGTATGAGCTGTGGGTAGGGAGGAAGGACGAGCTGTGGGTGGGGAGGAGGAGGTACCAGCTGTGGGGGGGGGAGGACAAGCTGTGGGTGGGGAGGAGGTACAGCTGTGGGTGGGGAGGAGGAGGTACCAACTGTGGGTGGGGAGGAGGTACCAGCTGTGGGTGGGGAGGAGGTACAGCTGTGGTGGGGGAGGACAAGCTGTGGGTGGGGAGGAGGTATAGCTGTGGGTGGGGGGGAAGGAAGTGCTGTGGGTGGGGAGGAGGTACAGCTGTGGGTGGGGAGGAGGTATGCGTTCCCAGCACTGTCAGGCTGCGGGTCTCTAGTAGCGTCCTCATGGCCCTGCCCATTCCTCAGCTCAGCGCCCTGGCTCAGAAGGAGAACCAGCCTGTGCCTATGTGATGTCGTTCCTCCAGGCCAGTGGCTCGGGCCCGTCTTGTACAGAAGGGGCCTCAGAGAGAGGAGTCTGTTCAAGGTAAAAAAGCCAGCGTCCTGCCTGACTGGTGTGGCTCAGTGGATAGAGCATTGACCTGCAGACCGAAGGGTCCTGGGTTCATTTTCAGTCAAAGGCATGTACCTCGGTTGCAGGCTCCTCCCCAGCCCAGGCTCTGGTTTCGGCATGTGCAGGAGGCAACCAATCGATGTGTCTCACGTCGATGTTTCTGTCTTTCTCTCCCACTCTCTCTAAAAGTCAATGGAAATATATCCTCAGGTGAGAATTAACAGCAACAACAAACAAACTCCTGAGTGTGGTTTAGTCCAGCCTGCCTCCAAAGTGGATGAACTTGCTCCCGGAACATACTGCCTGCCTCACCGGTGGACACAGAAATCCACCCTGGGACAGACTGTAGCAAAGGAGTGTGCTGGCTCCGAGGCGTGGCTGTGTGTCCTGCGGGGAGGGGGCAGGACGAGGCCAGGACCCCCGGCGGGGAAGCAGAGCAGCACCGGTGACAAGTTCTCGCCCTGGCTCCGCCGCTTGCTGGAGGAAAGGTTGGCCTGAGCCTCAGTTTCCTCATCTACTAGGTGGGGCGGTGACACTCCCTCTCTCTCTTTTATTTATTTATTTATTTATTTTAAATATATTTTATTATTTTGTACAGAGAGGACGGGAGAGAGATAGAGAACTAGAAACATCGATGAGAGAGAGAATCATCGACCAGCTGCCTCTTGCACACCCCTTACTGGGGATATGCCCGCAACCAAGGTACATGCCCTTGACCGGAATCGAACCCGGGACCTTTCAGTCCCCAAGCCGACGCTCTATCCATTGAGCCAAACCGGTCTCGGCTCCCTCTCTCTCTTTTAAAAAAAAATATATATTTTATTGATTTTTCACAGAGAGGAAGGGAGAGGGATAGAAAGTTAGAAACAGCCGAAACCGGTTTGGCTCAGTGGATAGAGCGTCGGCCTGGGGACTAAAAGGTCCCAGGTTCGATTCCGGTCAAGAGCATGTACCTTGGTTGCAGGCACATCCCCAGTGGGGAGGTGTGCAAGAGGCAGCTGGTTGATGATTCTCTCTCATCAATATTTCTAACTCTCTATCCCTCTCTCTTCCTCTCTGTAAAAAATCAATAAAATATATTATAAAAAAAAAAAGAATAGTGTTAAAAAAAGAAAAAGAAAAAGAAACATCGATGGGAGAGAAACATGGATCAGCTGCCTCCTACACACCCCCTACTGTGGCTGTGCCCGCAACCAAGGTACATGCCCTTGACCGGAATTCAACCTGGGACCCTTCACTCTGCAGGCCGACGCTCTATCCACTGAACCAAACCGGCCAGGGGGACGCTCTCTCTTAACCAGGGGTCCCCATAGGGGAGAGGGGTGCAGCACGCCACATTCCTGCAGGACCCCAGCTCACAGCAAGCCCTCGGTAGGTATCGGGTCACCTGTGTCCTAACGGCCTGGCGGGTCGGGAAGTCACCAAGCTCTGCGCAGGGCAGTCCCATCTGCAGGTAGAGCGCCCAGTGTCTCCCCGCAGCGGCGGCCGGAGAGAACACAGACCCTGGTCACGGGACCTTGGATGGAAAAACCAGAGCGCTCACCTCGGCGGGCAGCAGGCGTGAGAGAAGGCAGAGCAGGGCAGGCGCGAAGACGGATGTCGCCCTGGAACGCACCGCCGACCCTGGCCATCGTCCCAGCCGCGCTGACGTGGGGAGAAGGGGGCGCAGACAGCTTAGAGGTCTGGGCTGCTGGCCCATCTCCCCTGGCGCTGACGCCATCCGCCCGGTAGCCAGCTCTGCACTCAGAGCTGTTTCCCAGGGCGCTGACCTCCCCTGTCCCCCGTTTGTCTCCCCAACACCGTCCAACCGCCGCACTGCCACCTGCGCCTGCTGGCGAACGGGGCTGCCTGCCTCTCAGGCTGCTGGCGTGTGTCAGCTCCGAGGACAGGCGCAAGGTGCTGTGTAAACAGTTTTCCCTTTATTAGGCATGAAGGTAAATGAGGCCGGCCACGGTGCATTAAAAATAAACAACAATTAATAGCCACGCAGCCAGGCCAGCAGCCCCCAAGGGCCCTGGTGCACAGAAGCTGCATCCTTCCTCTCGGTCTGCCACCACCACTTGCTGACCTCATTCCCGCCCGCCGGGCCCTGAGCGCCTGGCCCTGCCCTGGCCCATCAGATGTGGTCTTGCCAGTCCCTCTCCAGGCTCATCAAACTGGGTCAGTCAAGACTGTTCTCTTCCCATCGTTTTCTCACGGAGTCATTGGAAATCGTCAAAACCCACAGCCAAACACCGTTTGCCTGAGCTGTGCCCCTTGGAGGGAGCGCATCTCTCCCGGCCACGGCGGGGCCTCTCTGTCTGGCTCCCGGCACTGCCTGGACGTCATCTGGTCTGTGTCTTCGCCTCCGGACACGGAGGCACCAGCACAAACCTGCTCCTATTCCAAATATCACCAGGGAGCCCTGGCTGCTTTGGCTCAGTGGATAGAGCGTCAGCCTGTGGACTGAAGTGTCCCAGGTTCAATTCCGATCAAGGGCACATGCCTGGGTTTTGGGCTCAATCTCCAATGGGGTAGGAGGGTGCAGGAGGCAGCTGATCAATGATTCTCTCTCATCATTGATGTTTCCATCTCTCTCCCTCTCCCTTCCTCTCTGAAATCAATAAAAATATATTTAAGTAATACACTGAATGGTCAGATTATTATGATCTCTGAACACATAATTATCTGGCCACTCAGTGTATAGCCAAGATAATAAAAGGCTAAAGTGCAAATTTTCCCCTCAACCAGGAGTTCGACCAGCAGGCAGGCCAGCCAACGGCCCATGTCTCCTCCCCCTGGCCAGGCTGGCTGGACCCCACCCATGCACAAATTCATGCACCGGGCCTCTAGTATATATATATATGCATTGAGTGGCCAGATTATGATATGTTCAGAGATCATAATAATCTGACCACTCAGACCATACATACATACATACATACATACATACATACATACATACATCTGTCCTACACCTGAATATCAGACAAAAACTTGGAAACAACAGCCCTATGCTGAAGAGAAAGAACAGGAGGAGGGGGGGGAGGGGGAGGGGGAGGGGGAGGGGGAGGAGGAGGAGGAAGGAAGAGACTCAAGAAGTAATTTGGTTCCAAACTAAACATGAATTCACTGTGTACATGCTGCGAAAGGAAAAGCGGATAGGGTATGCCTTTAAATGGTATATATAGCTCTCCCTGCTCGCCTAGCCTTTTCAATGACAGCACCCACCCACCAGATTCCTCTGGGAGAGTGGTCAACCTTAGTCCACTATTTACCCTTCAGTCCATCTGCTGCCATGGTGGCTGGAGGGAAGGTGCCAGGGCACAGAGCTGGTGCAGCTTTACACAGCAGTAGGTCTCAGAGCTGAGCTGACAGCCCCTACTCATTCAGCCCATCCTGCCTGCGGACAGCGGACCACAAGTTGATGCTGATAAGCTTCTAGTTACGCTGCCTGGGGATCCCCGTTTCCCAGGAGCCCTCTGCACAGTTAGACTCTTCCCCAGGCAGGTAAGGTGATGGGGGGC